AAACCCTAATTTATTAAATATTAAACTATTTATCATTTTACGGTAAATTAATTAACTTAATTATAAATTAATTAATATAATAAATTTAAGTAAAAGTTCAATTAACTTAATTTATTGCCTATAGCACATTTTAATACTTTATTAAGATAAAAAATAGTAAACTACAAATAAATACTAAACTACTTATCATTTTATATTAACTTAATTATAAATTAATTAATATAATAAATTTAAGTAAAAGTTCAATTAATTTAATTATAAATTAATTAATATAATAAATTTAAGTAAAAATTAACTTAATTATAAATTAATTAACACAATAAATTCAAGTAAAAATTAACTTAATTATAAATAAATTAATACAATAAATTTAAGTAAAAATTCAATTTAATTTATAAATTAATTAATACAATAAATTTAAGTAAAAATTCAATTTAATTTATAAATTAATTAATACAATAAATTTACTAAGTAAAAATTCAATTAAATTAATTAATACAATAAATTTAAGTAAAAATTCAATTAAATTAATTAACACAATAAATTTAAGTAAAAATTAATTTTACAAAATAAATTTTATTGTAAAAAGAATTCTTAAAAAATCTAAATAACAATGGTTTTATATATAATTAAAACTATACCAATTATATATACTCTAACAGTTATATTAGAAAATAACATAATCTTTTTAGGTAAAGATAATCTGCATTTAGTATTGTTTGATAATATTTCTAGGTTAGAAAAATAATTTTAATCTAACCTTTTTTAAAATATCTGATTTTTGTATTTTAAATTTGGCAAATTTGATTGGATAAAATCTTGTATCTGTGTTTTCGGCCAATTAAAAACCTTCGTTTAACCTTTATTCTCTTTAAAGAATTTAGATTTACAAATAATTTTGTTAGATCTAATATAAATTATATTTATCAATCTGTGTTAATAAATCTTAATTAAACTTGGATAAATTATAAATTATAAAATATTCTTCTAGTTAATCCAAAATATGACATTCTAAATTAATTGATAAACTGATAATACCTTTTTCGTGAATACCTTCCTTATACAGTCTAATGAAGTGTAGATCATGATTCAGGCTTCGTCACACAACCTTAAATGTTCACAGTTCACACGATATTTTTTCTGGATGTTTCCAGCGCGAGCCAGTTGAAAAAAAACAATGATTATTGGCTATTCATTTAACACAACCAAACCACCGGAGTAGAATTTCCCAAATATTATCTTTCAAAAAACTCCGTTCGTTAACATTTATAAATATTTAAATTTTTTCCAAGAATACTAAAAAAGTTTTTTTAAAAAAAAGTTGTTCTTTTATATTTTATCAAATATATTAAATAAATAACCATTTGTCTAAATAAAAATGCCTATTGACTATAGTAAGTGGGATAAACTTGAACTTAGTGACGACGACGACTTTGAATGTCACCCTAATGTGGATAAAGCGTCTTTTATTCGATGGAAACAAGCGGACATTCATCAAAAACGCGAGGAAAGACGTCGAAAAATTGAAGCTCTTAAACTTGAGACCTCAAACAACGTAGTATTACTTAAACGTATTGATGATATGATACAACAAATAATAGAGGGAGGAGTTGAAACTTTTTTACAAACAATTGAAAAGTTACGAGAAACAAATAAAAAGATAGCATCCGAAGCAAAAGAAGCAAAAGATGAAAAAGATGAAAAAGATGAAGAATCTTCGGAAGATTCTTCACAGAAAGAAGAACAGCTTGCATATCCAACTTTTGATCAAATGATGGGTGTTTTATTTGAAAGAATTCAAGATGAAGTTAAAAATGAAAGTCCAGAAAAAGTTGGGGAACAATTAAAAAATAAATTAATTGAACATCGTAATAAATTAAGTCAAAGACAAAAAGAAGCTAAACAAGAATTGGAGAAAGAAGAAAGAGAAGCTAGGAAGAAAATTACCATGGATGATATGCATACTGGATTTGATAAGTCGGTAAGTAATTTTTGTTAATCAAAAAATTTTGTCCGATTGTCTACATACTAATAAAGTTTATATATAATTTATAGTCTGTTAGTAAAGTCGCTAAAATTGAACCACCAAAACCTCAACCGAAAAAAACAAAAAAAAAAGAACAAGTTGTCGAAGTCTTAAATCCCAATGCTCAAATGAAATCACTTGATGATAACGAGGTAAATTTACAAATAATTTTTTTTTTATTTAAATTTTTGATAATAAAATTTAAAATTTTAATAGAAAAATCAAGCTGAGGTAGATGAAAAAGATGATGAAAAAGAAGAAAGTGATGATGATGATGATGAGGAAGAGGAGCTTTTGACATCAGATCTTGCGAAAGAATTCGCAATGATTAAAGATTACGATAGGAGTTTCGAATTTATCACAAAACATCCTGAAGTCGTTTCTCAAGAGATAGTTGATCAAATTTTAGCAGAGGCATTCCAATCTCAATTAAAAGGAAAAGCCAAGTATGCAAAACAAGCTGTACATCAAGCGTGGTTATTACAGTACTGTCAAAAGCTTGGAAAAGATGGTGTTACACTTTTCTTCAAAAGGTATGTTTGAACCATTTTCGACCCAAATGGTTGAACTATATGTCTTTATAAATTAAATATTTTATTTTATTTATTTATTTTTTTTGTTAGGATAACTTCACCAAACCCTCAAGCACGTGAAGTTTTCATGAAGGACGTTAATGAAACCTATGACCGTATTCGTGAGCGTTGTCAAATTATGGCAGCAGAGAAAACTCAAAAGCCTCAACCTGCTAAACAAGTAGAACAGATTCAAATTGAAGTGACAGATCCTAATATGTCGCTTAACGTTCGTGTTCCAGATGAAAATGCTGCAGATGAAGAAGGAAAAAAGAAATATCAACTTTTTAAAACTTTACCTGAAGATTTCCAGGCAGCTTTAAAAACTACCGAAATAACGAAAATTAATAAAGTTTTAGGCGAAATGACTGTTGAAAAAGCTGAACATGTTTTACAAGTCTGTGGAGATGCCGATATTCTTTCAATTGAACCAGGAATTATTGATACAACGCAAGGTGAAGTTGTTCCGGGACAAGAGATCGACAATGTGTCACATGATGATAAAAAAGCGGATTTATAGGAATAAAAAATAAGTATGAGAAATTGGACGTTAGATAAATATAACAAATATTTTCTTATGTATATTTTTTTGATTATGTAAATTATTCTAGTAAATTTATTCATATTTATTAAACGGTTTCATTTTAAATGCCATCCTATAATACATAATAAAAACGTCGTAATCGATATTTACAATTGGATGATTAAATAGCGGCACTACACGCCGCATTAGTTTTTAATCCGCAATTTTATACCAATTTTAGTGAGATATATGAGATATAACAGATAACTGATAATACTGAACTTCATAATCACGTGAAAATTAAGTTAGAAGTTTCGATATCATTCTAGCGATTTTTAGTAACCAAAACTTGCCAAATAAAACGCCTCATGATGAATTTATCGCATAATTTTTTAGTGATAGTCATACCCTAATTCAAACATAAATAGAGCGAAATTTTGCCTTCTCTCACATCTTCGTTTTCACTTTATTGTAAAAATTAGAAGAAAAACCCTACTATTTTTTACTTTAAATAAAAAATGACTCGTACAAAACAAAGTACCACTCCTCATGCTCTAGTTAAGGACCGCCACCTTCAAAGGTAAATAAGCGCGGTTAGTCGCGTTATTTGTGCTTCATTATTATTTTATGACAAAATTTAAATTTTGATATATATATTTAGGAGCGGAACAACGGATCCAAGAGGGAATCCAAAAAAGGTTTATATTTAATTTTTTGAATTCATGTATTTAGTTTATAATGTTAATTATTTATGCTTTTTTTATACAGGAAGGAGGAGGTCCTCATAACTGGGGAAAACCCACCGATGTACTCGCAGAACTGGATGAACATTATGAATTTAAAGAAGAAACACCCAAGTACAATAAAGAAAAAGTTCAAGACACGAAAGCTGCAGAGACTAACAGAGAAACCGGAAAAATACAAGTTGTGAAGCCGGAAGAATTTGAAATTCTTCATCGTGCAACCAACTCTTAATTTCGTAATAGCAAAAGCCAATAGCAACAACTATCTATGTCTATTATAGTATAAATTTTTGGTGTAAATTGCAAATTATCTCCACATAGTTTTTCACACTAGACGTACTTTTTTGTAACATAAATAAAATATTTTTCAACTTTTTACATATGAAGCATAAAAACATGATAAAATTTTATTTTGATAAATAATTTGTTAATTTTAGTTAATATAATTAATAAAAATTTACAAAAAAATATTACAACTAATTCATAATTACTTAAGGTCAATTTAAATGACTTTTTTTGTCATACAGCAATTTTCATACCTACATCAACAACATCATTAATTGGAATATTCCAATTTCCATATAATTCTCTTGAAATATTTTCCATGAAGACGTAACAGTTAATTAAAACCTTTTTCCCATAAAAAGCACTTGGTTTAGGTTGAAGAGATTGTCGATCAAGGATATAAGTTACATGATTTCCAGGATTTGAGCTTTCTGATAAATCTTCACTATTTGGATCGATTTTACGAATTTCTTGAATCATTTTCGTTATAAATTCCTCTCCTTGAGAAACAACTTCCATATAACCATAACGTGCAATTATACGATAACAACCGTTATAACGAACTTTTTTCACAATTAAACGATCATCATCGCCAACAAAAGGAATTGCAAGATGACGTATACTGATGAATATGAGAATTTTTGGTACCGCAGGAAAATGATGTACAAAATGTTTAAACGTAAGGGGAACACCATATCCTGCTCCATTATAAAACATTCCAATTCCCGGCAATCTACTAACTTGATATCCATTATTTGAAAGTTGAAGTTCACCACTTTTTAGTTTTTTAGGTTCGATTGAAGATACTGGATTTCTTATTATAATTTCATCATCATTTCCAAGTTCTGAAATAGATTTTTCGTTATCTGATTTGTCATCAGGATCGGCAAAAATGTTTTCAAAGGTTGACTTTGAATCGAGCTCATGTTGATATTTAAGATTTGTGCCCCATCTCCAAATCAACATAACACTGGTAAGAATTACCCCAAATGTTAATGTAAACCAACCACCGTTACGAACTTTAAGAAGAGTAGAACTCAAAAATGCCATATCAATTACACCAAAAATCAAGAAGAAAACAATAGAAACTATAATCGGAAATCCCCAAACAACGTGGATTGTTATAGATAAGAGAATTGTTGTAATAAACATCACCGAAGCAACTGCGACACCGTAAGCGATAGTTAATTTAGCGGATTCTTGGAAAGCGAAGCAAACTATCACAACAGCAACCATAAGGATGTAATTAATCTGTAAAAAACAAAATTGTTGTCAACACTAAATTTTGGTATCAAAAATTACTTAATTAATTACCTCAGGAATATAAACTTGTCCTTCAATTTTCTTTGAAGTGTGTACAATCTTAAAAAAAAGCAGAGAACATTTTAATTCAAATATTACAAATTTATCGATTGATTTCATTTCGGTTAAGGACGTACTTTGACTCTTGGGAAAGAATCTAATTGCATTGCCTGACTTATTAATGAGAATGTGGCAGAAATCATCGCTTGAGAAGCAATGATTGTCGCTAAAGTTGCTAGGACAAAAGTGACCCAATAAATAAAAGGGTTGTTCGGTATTGTATTATAAAATGTGTTTGAAACAAGTGTATTATCCAAAGTTAAACGAGCGGCTTGCCCAAGATAAGCCAAAACTAAAGAAGGATAAACAATTAGTGGAAAAGAAAGTTGGATAGCAACGCGATTGAAGTGGCCTAAATCAGCATATAAAGCTTCAACTCCTGTTATGGATAGCAAAACTCCACCGAGAGCTTCGAATCCCGTTCCCTTATTACGAATAAAATAATCAAATATATAGTATGGATTGAACGCTCTCAAAATTTTTGGATCGAACGTAATATTCCATATTCCAATAGATGCGATTGCCACGAACCATAAGAAAACGATTGGAGCAAATAAACCTCCTACTTTATTTGTGCCAAATCGTTGAACCGCAAACAATACAATAAGAATTCCGCTTTTTATTTTTATAAAAAAACGAGTCAGTTGATTTAAGCCTTCGTTAATTTATTTGTGTAAAGCTGTTAATTCTTACCAGCTAATGTAAACAATAGCTCCATGTGTTGGTGGAGATGCAACTGCAATTCCCTCTACTGCGGATATTACAGATATAGCTGGAGTTAACAAACCATCACTCATGATTAATGATGCACCAAGTAAAACGACGATTGTCAAAAAATTTTGTACAAATTTGTGGCGTTTTATAAAATTCTGATATTCCTTAGTACTATGAGTTGACATGGACTCGTAGTTTACGATTGTAAGATCGTCAGGTCTTTGCTCATCGTGAACACTTAGACCTGAATTTCTTTTAATGGTAATTATACAATAAATAACTCGTAAGATTAGATAAATATTTATATTTAAACGAAATTTTCTTACCTAAACAACAAGGAATAAAGAGCAAAAGTACCACCCTGTCCATTATCATCTGCTCTCAAAACGATAAAAATATACTTGATCATGGGAATGATAGTCTAAACGATTTTATGAATTAATAAAATTTCCTTCAAATAGCAAAAGTATTGAAATATATCTGTCGTGAATCATACCAATGACCAAATAATCAGAGAACAAGCACCTAAAGGTCAATCGATATAAATAATAAATAAAGAAATATAATTTATTTTCAATAGAACAAGAAAATCAAATAATACATACCAACGATGTCACGGTTATCATTAGGTACATCTGGAAAAATTGCCGTATACACGTATAAAGGGGATGTACCAATATCTCCATAAATCACACCTTTTGATGAAGAAATCATAAAGAATTAAAAGCCGATCAAATTTTTTTCGGATTCACATGTATATTTACCAAGAGTTCTAAAAGCCATTATCAAGGTAGTCACGATTCCAATGTCCTGAAATAAATACCGATATCAATGAAGCTCTATAATAAAAGTAAAAATCTTTTTCATCACACCTTTAATGCCGTTTGCTTATATTTGTATATAAGCTCTTTTGATGACGTAGTTTGTAATTTTATATCAAAATTATTCGTCATATTGATAAATTTGGTCCGATAAAAAAGACACTGAAGAAAAAATAAAATAAAAATTTTTTAACATATTTATAAATTTTTACTTATTTTTTAAATTTTGATCCGATCTGAAGGCCCACCAATCCTAAATTGTGTGCGTAGATTTTGCGAATCACATTCCATATGGAATGAATTTATAGAATGTCCATCAAAATTAACCGTTTATTGGGGGGCTACCAAATCTGTCATTCTTATTTACGAGCAAAATTGCATCATAATGCCCATCGTACCCAAAACTTTAAAAATTAATGAATAAGATGATCGTTTTAAGTTAAAGTTTCGTTCTTATTGCATATGTATTCTTGTACACACGTGAAAATAACTGAAAACAATATTTATATAGAGTTATTATTATACTCAAATTATTTTTTTTTTTTAATCCTTGGCATAAAAACAAATAAATTAACTCGTTATTGCATATGATTAAACAAATTGCCTCTAAACGGCCTAATGTTACGTAGATCGGTTAGATCGGTTAGCACTTGAATCACAAAAAATAATTTTGAGATGATGACGATCAATTAATTTTTACTTTTTTGTCTACTCTCGACGGTCTCGACCTACGTTTTTTTGGCATAAAAATTTGTTCGTTGATCATTATGTCAAAAAATTTATTGGTCATGGTTTTTAATGTAACCGATTAAAAAATTCAGATGTTCATATAGAACGTTACAACGTACAATAGTTACTAAAAAAAAATCATTCGTTTATATTAAATATTAAATTTTGTATGAACTCCTTTTTTTAACATTAAAAAAGGAAAATGATAAATACAATAAGTAACAACCCTAATAGTAATAGTAGTGTAATTTAAATATATTACAATAATTCTGTCACACCATTGGCAATTGATGAACGCCAGTTTTTTGCTCTTTCAAAGCCATTTGTATTTTTATCATAATCAAACATTGTTTGAAATATTTCTTCTTCCGAGTTCATCACGAAAGGTCCATAATTTACTATAGGTTCCTAAGTGGGAGGGGGAAATGATTTTGTAAATTCTTGTAAATTCTAAAAAAAAACTTTTTTTTAAAAATATTTACCTTCAATGGTTTTCCCGTAAACAGTACAAATCTCAAATCTCCATCTTTTGCTTCTACAGAAATATGATCTCCATTATCATCTAAAAATAATGCACTATGTTCTTCGCCCTTAAATTGATTTCCACCAAAATAACCAATCCCATTTAAAACATATATAAATCCTTGATGATCTTTTGGAATTTTTTGTATAATCTTTTTTCCTTTTTCAAGTTTAAAATCCATAATCATTGTAGGAGTTCTTGTAAATACTGAACTTTTTACTCCAAAGCTTTCTCCCGCAATAATTTTTACTTCAATTCCAGGTTCAGGTTTTGCTCTTGGAATATCATAATCCTTTAAATCTTGATACGCAGGTTCAATCATTTTATGTTCTCGTGACAAGTTGATCCAAAGTTGAATACCGCGAGAAGGCATATTTGAGGCAGGCATTTCAGCATGAACAATACCACGACCTGCTGTCATCCATTGCACGTCACTATAATATGATAGTAAAAAAAAAATGAATATAAATAGATTTTTTTTAACAATAATTAAAAAAAAATTTATGTACCCGGGTCCAATTAACCCTTTATTTCCGCCAAAATCTTCATGTGCAATTGCACCTTCTAATAGATAAGTAACAGTTTCGAATCCTCGATGGGGATGATCCGGAAATCCGGCTGGCGGAGTAACTTCAAATATATCACACAACAAAAATGGATCTAAAGTACTTGATCCACCTAAACATCTTCGAACCGTTGCACCAGCTCCTTCAGATCGAGTCTAAAATTAAAACTTAAGAAGTTAGTAACGAAATCTAATCCTATCAGCTATCTTCTCTATCAATATTATCTACCTTTGCAAAAAATGATCTTGTAATATTTCTAGCTGCCATTTTTTTTTTTTTTTTTAATGTAATTTTAAAAGAATTGGAATCTTTGCATTTTTATATAAAAATTAAAATGTCGATCGCTAAATATTTTACGATTAGAAATTATATTATAAATTATTGATTAGTCATCTTTTAATAATAAACATTAATGACAAATGGGATTTATTTGTCACGTGATTATTAAACAAATTTGATGTAAGGAATTTAATTTTTTAGAATTATTTTGTAATTACAAAATTTATACATATTCATATTTATATTGGTACGCATTTCGTAAAATATTTTTTCGAACTTTCTCACTGCCTTTGTGTTATTTGTAAATTTTGCTAGCATTTTCTGATTCCTCTAAATACATTTTATTTTATTATACAAATTTCAACAAATCGATGAAAATTTTTTTACCATTCTCAAATGTCCACGTGCGCTCAAAGATAAAATTATAATTAATAATAATAACGTTTACTCCATATTATTAATTAACTGCTGAAGAAGAGAGATGGAAATTTTGTGTAGAATTATAATAAAAAGATCAAAAGAATAACCAGATAATGACATTTCTTATAGCAATGTTTTAGTTAATATATAATTAAAACGTGAGATCAATAATATTATTCCATACTATCATATAATTTATGAATTTAAAAAATAAATAAACATTTATTGATTTATTTCATATTTGAAATATTCATTAATATTAATATTACTATTGAAGGACATAAGTAATTTTTTTAATTTTAAAATCTGTCCCCATAAATAATATATATTAGCCAAATTTCACATTAGTAATCGTACTTGAAGTGTCGATATAAACATTCAACCTAAAATAAATAACACAAACAAATAAATAAAAAATAAACTATTTATTTTGGATACATTCTTTATATATATACCTTTCTGGTTTAAAATCCATGGTTACAAGGGCACTTGGAGGAATAACTCTATGTCCAGCAGGTAAATCGGTTTTACGAACAACCTATTATTAAAGTATTAAATAAATGAGAAATTTTTAAATTTTTTAGATTTTTAGTTTTTATATATTTACCTTATCTTGTTCTTCAGATGCAACTGACACATTATCAAGTACGAATTTCTTGCCAACCAATTGAGTTTTCCACTCTTCAATAGATTTATCCGTCATTTTTTTAAATATTTTTTTTTTAGTGAAAATACGAGTCGAAGAGAAATTCTTATATACACTAATTTGTCATAACCTCCATAATCAATCATTTTCATCATAATGATGCATTCATGCATTTCCAAACTCGAATTAAGTTAGTCTCAAAAATTGATCTGCATAATTGCATTAATCTGTATTGGTCTGTAAAAAACTATAAATTTTGTTTGAGTAGAAGAAATAAAGCTTAATAATTTAGTATTTTATAAGATGTGCAAACATATACTCAACGCTCAGGTATATAGAGTGTAGTTAGTTTCTTTATTTTACTTTAAAGATCTATTTAATAACGTTAAGTATACTTTTAACAAGGTTTCGATTCGTGCGCAATGCTGTCAACGTTGGTTTGATTGTGCCGATTGCCACGCGGAAGTATCAGATCATCAACTAAGTAAAACTCTCGAGATGGTCTTTGCTTGCAAAAAATGCAAAAAATGTTTCCGCAAGGATATGGAAAACTTTGATGAAACTGATGAATATTGCCCTCATTGTGATAATCATTATGTGTTGGATGCAAAGACTCCGTCATTCGGAATTGGAGTCGAGGGTGAAGATCCAAGGAAGGATAACAGGTTAGAGATTTTTCTTTAAAAAAATTTTTTATGCTAAATTATTATATAACTCATTATCTATTTCTTTATATACAGAATGATTAAGGATGAACGTTTAAAACAAGATCCTAACAAGAGTATTTTCAATCAAGACTTTTCATATAAAATGGGTTAAATAATTAACTACATAATTTGTAATTCTTTTTTTTATATAATACATATTGCCTTTAGATATACTAATTTATTAATTTGTTAATTTATTGAAATTATAGAAGTAAAAACTGAGATTAGAAAAAATTAGAAATTTATTGTCATAGAATATCATTTAGTTGATAAATTTTATAATTAAAATAAATATATATTTTTGGTGCTTGATTAAGTTATTATGCCTTATTTTACTATAAAGTCACGTGATAATCTTGTATTATTGTGAAAGCGGGTACTTTTAAACAACTAAATATTAGTCTTTATTCTTGGTGGCTTGTAATTATATTACGAAACCAAACGCGAACGCGCATAAGCTCTTTAGGAAAGTCACCAGAATCAATTTATCATGCATATCAAGCAGGTATACTTTTGAATTAGCTCAAATAAGCTGGATTTTGCGTTAAAGTTTTATAAGAGAAGGTAATTCTGTAGTAGTTATAGTTAACTTAAATTTTTTAATTTAGATTATTATACAAGGTTTTAAATCTTATAAAGATCAAACTATTATTGAACCTTTTAGTCCTAGACATAATGTCGTCGGTATGCTAGTTTTATATTTAAATCGTGACGCGTGTATGGTCAGTAACTTTTAATAAAATGAATAATTGCTATCATTATTTTGTAAATATAGTTGGTAGAAACGGATCTGGAAAAAGCAACTTTTTTGCCGGTGAAATATATTATTAACTTTTTGGTTTAACAAATTTTCTTATTTAATATCAGATATCAATATATTAACTTGTGATATCTTTTTTTTAAAAAATCAATTCTTTAAGCAATTCGATTCGTTTTAAGTGATGCATACACAAATATGGGTCGCGAGGAGCGGCAAGCTCTCCTTCATGTGGGTTTTTTAATGTTTAATATGTTTAATATATTTAATTTATTTTCGAATTTTACTAATAAAAAATTTTTAAAATTGATTAAAAAACAATCACAATTAAACGATACCATATAAATTAAAAATTGCTTTTGAATTTCATTCTACTTTCGGTTCATAATGGCTATCTCATAAATAATGGATTTACTGACTGTATATAGGAAGGAACCGGTCCTGCTACCATGTCTGCTTATGTTGAGATTATATTTGATAATAGTGACAATCGTTTCCCTGTTCGTGATTTTCTTTATTTTTATTTTACTTTTTTCTTTTGCTTATCATTTTTTTTTTTAAGGATAGGTATGACATAATTACTAATTAATACAAAATTTTCTTGCTTGTAATGTTACTTTTTCTTGATAGACTGGCAAAGATGAAGTGGTCTTGCGTCGTACAATAGGATTGAAAAAAGACGAATATTCATTAGATAAGAAAAGTGCAACGTATGTCTCTGAGGTTAAAAATGAAATGAGATGTATTATCTGTAGTATAACTAAAAAAAAATGTATCTTATATTTACAGAAAAACAGATGTAATGAATTTACTTGAGAGTGCTGGATTTTCACGTTCGAATCCTTATTATATTGTACCGCAAGGGAGGGTATGGTACTTCTTATCATTTTATTTATTAAGTAAAGTATATAGAATGAAAGTGATGATTAATTAAGGACTTATACTATAATTTAGATTACTGCGTTAACGAATGCAAAAGATCCGGAACGCTTACAATTATTAAAAGAAGTTGCTGGTACTCGTGTGTATGAGCAACGTAGACAAGAAAGTAAAAAGATTATTGAAGAAACTGGTAATATTTAATATATCAATTTCTCGATCCTAGTAGTATATATTTGGGATCAAATAATAACGAATCAATCGTCTTGGTATGTAAAAAGATTCTAAGCGATCCAAGATTGAAGAGCTCCTTAATTACATTGAGGAACGTCTTGAAGAACTTGAAGAAGAAAAAGAGGAATTAAAAAACTTTCAGGATATGGATCGTGAAAGAAGATGTTTGGAATATGCAATATATCATCGGGAGCAATTAGATTTGAAGCGACAATTAAATGAGGTCTTAAGTTTTTTTTTATTACGTTTTTTTAAGATTGTTACCGTTAAAGTATAAAAAGCTAAAGTTTTTTATTAACTTATTTAGATGGACGAATTACGTGAAAAAGGGGTTCATGGCTCAAACCAACAAAATAAATTATTTAAGGATGATGCAGAAAGAATTACTGTAAGTTTTATATATTAACTGAAAAAAGTTCTATTATAATAAAGCAGTGTTTTAACATATAATGTTTTTTCTAAAGAAAATTGAACTCGAAATTGCAGAACTTCAAGGAAAGATTGATCTTCTTAATGTTGAGAAAAGAGAACTTGATGAAGACGTGCAAGAACAAATTAAAGCTCATGCACAAATAGAATTAGCTTTAAAGGACATGGAGGACACAGATAAACAAAATAGAGAAACAAAAGTATGAGCAATAAATGCTATTTAATAGTAATCAAAACGTAATTGGTACTAAATCAAAATTTTTAATAAAATTAGAAAAGAAGAGAAAACGAACTTAGAGCTATTGAGACGGACATTCGGAAAAAAGAAGCTGAATTAGAGCAAATAATACCATCGTATATAAGTGAAGTTAACCAGGAAGCTCAGTTAAAAGAGGAGTAAGTTAAAATGTTTAAATGCATAAATATATTTAAATATATAATTCTTTCTGATTTTTAATTAATTATTCTTAAGGTTAGAAGATGCTGAATTGAAGCGTCAAGCTCTTTACGCCAAACAAGGTCGTAGCTCTCAATTTAGAGATCGTGGAGAGAGGGACGCGTGGTTAGGGAAAGAAATACAGGAAATTGATCGAACAGTGATGGCCCAACAACAACAGGTAAGTAAATTAAATAGATTATTTCTCTATTTATGTAATTAATTAATCATAATTTGTACTATTTAATCAGGCTAATGACTTAGAATCTCAAATAAACAATTTAACACAAAGCATTGAAAGAGTTTCTGGGGAAATACAGAATACTCGAAATAAGTTGGAACAGAGAAAAGTGAACCTTGAAGAAATGAATAATCAATATAATGAGCTGAAAGCTCAAAGAGATAAACTTACAGATCAAAGAAAGTTTGTATTTATCTTAATTCATAGTAATTATAGCAAATTCTTTATATTGACATTAATTCGGTCATTTCTTTATTTGATAAAGAGAACTATGGAGAGAAGATGCACAGCTAGATACAAAGTTAATAAATGCACGTGAACAGTGGAAAAGCAACGAGAGGGCTTTAGCTAGTTCTATGGACAAGGTATTTTCGTTAAATTAAATTTCAAATATAAATTAAATAAATTTTAATGATTTATTTTTTCACACTTTAAAGAAAACCAATAATGGTCTAAACGCTGTAAAAAGAATAGTTGAGCAATATCGTATAAAAGGCGTACTTGGACCACTTTATGAATTGGTTGATTGTACAGATCCAAATAAATGGACGGCAGTAGAAGTCACGGCAGGACAAAGGTTTTATAATCTTATTGAAAGAAATACTTTTTTTTTGTATTCAATTTAATATTGAAAATATTACTTTTATAGTTTATTTCATGTAGTTGTAGATACGGATGATACCGCAACTAAAGTATTAGATGTATTAAATCGCGAACAAAGTGGACGTGTCACATTTATGCCTTTAAATCGGTTGAGAACAAAGACTTTAGAATATCCAGAATCCAACGATAAAGTGATACCTATGATGAACGTGCTCAAATTTGATAAAGCATATACCAAAGCAATTGAGCAGGTAAATTAAAGTGCGTTAATCTAAATTCATGAAAGTTATATATAGTGTCAATAATTTATTTCTTGCGGGTAGGTATTTGGTCGATCGGTAATTTGTGTCGATTTAAATGTCGCGGCAACCTTAGCAAAATCTCATGATTTGGATGGAATTACGTTAGATGGTAAGCTTTTTTTTATGTTGTAAAGTTCTAATTCATCATGTAACGAGATCAATTTCAATAAATTTTTAGGCGATCGTGTTGATCGAAAGGGTGCTCTTACTGGTGGTTATCTTGATGTTCGTCGAAGACGTTTAGAGGCCGCAACAAATTTGAAAAAATGGAGAAAGGAATACCAAGATCTTGATAATCGTGCAAAAGATGTGAAGAACGAAATAACTCATATCCTTTAAAATTCAAATAGTTATAATAATTTAGAATAAATTTATTTATTATACAATTTTGTTTATTGCATCCTTAAGTCTTATCTTTAAATACGCCTAGATCAACAGATTACTCATATACTGAGCCAAATGCAGCTCATTGAAGCCAGACGTCGACAAGTTCAGGATAGTCGAGACCCTCTCTTGTTCGATCTTAATTCAAAAATGAAAGAAGAAACAAATTTGAAAGAATCTAAGGCTAGCAAAGTATTTATTATCTAGCTTTTGTTTGTTTGTTTGTTTGTTTTTTGTTTTTAAAACAATTCATAAAAAAATTTTTTTTTTCCTTTCAAAGGAAAGGTCTCTTATAAATCTTCATAGTAATATTAAGATGCTTAAAGCGCAGAAAGAAGCGCATCAAATGGAAATGAGTACGGAACTTACACAGACTCTAACCTCGCAAGAGCAAAGGAGACTCGAGGAGTTGATCACTAAAATAGAGCAAATGCGGGAACGGTTGTCAAACTTTTCCACTTCAAGATCTGAGGTATGTAAAGTGAATTGGTGGATATTTGTTTGGATTAATTTATTAATTTATATAAATGTAGCTTGAAGCGCGTAAGAACGTGTTAGAAAATGAACTTAACGCGAATTTGAAAAGGCGACGTGAAGAACTCTTGATCCATATTGAGAGTTTGGCCACGACTGATGACGATCAAATACATAATACAAAAGACGAATTAGAGAAACTAATTCAAGATATGTCGGAACGAGCAGATGGTTAGTAATGTTTATTATACTCTCATCTATATATAATCAATTTCAATTATTCGATTTTAACACAGTGGTACTATTTATTATAGAAATCGAGACAGAATTACAGAATTCATCCACTGTTTTAAGTGAAAAGAGTTCAGAGTTAGAAAAGTTAAAAGTATAATTGTTTTATTATCATATCTAAAGTTAAATTAAAAGGAGGCTAGGCTTTTTAACTTTTTTAAATATTACTATTCACTCTTTTAGTCCGAACAGATTGAACGTCAACAAAAGCTTGAACGACAACAAAAGAATGTTGACAAGTTTCTTTCGAAAAGAAAATTAATATTACAAAAGAAGGAAGAATGTACGAAGAATATTCGTGAACTTGGTGCATTACCAGACGAAGCGTTCAAAAAATACGAGAATACCGACCCCACAAAGGTTTGAGCCAACTATAACCCTATCCTTATGTATTATATATACGACATAAACTTATTTAATTTATGTTGAACTTAGCTATTAAAACAACTACATAAAGTAAATGAAGGACTAAAGAAATATAGTCATGTCAATAAAAAAGCGTTTGAACAATATAATAATTTCACCAAACAGAGGGATACCCTCACTAAAAGGAAGGACGAGTTAGATCAATCGAAAAGGGTAAATAAATGAGAAATTTATTTTTTTATCAATTATAAAACTCTATTAATCAAGTAATATTTTATTTAGGCAATTAATGAATTGATTACCGTATTGGATCAAAGAAAAGATGAGGCAATTGAACGAACATTTAAACAAGTAGCGAAATATTTTTCTGAAGTCTTCGAGAAATTAGTTCCCGCTGGACGTGGACAATTAATTATGCAAAGAAGAATTGATAGGGTATTAAATTTTCTTTTATTTTTGCATTTAAATTAATTAATTACATGTTTAATATTTATTTTTTCTTGATCAGGATTCAGAAGAAGAGGATGATGACGACGATAACGATCATGAAGGATCTGTAGTCGATAACTATACAGGTGTTGCGATTAAGGTATTGGATCATATTCATTATCGGATATGGTTTTTTCCTAATAATAATTGTTAATTTACTATCAATTTAAAGGTTTCATTTAATAGTAAAACCGATGAAGGGTTACGTATGCAACAATTATCAGGCGGTCAAAAATCATTAGTCGCCCTTACGCTAATATTTGCAATTCAGCAATGTGATCCAGCACCCTTTTATTTATTCGATGAAATTGATGCTGCTCTTGACGCGCAATATCGTACCGCTGTTGCATGTAATTAACAAAATTTGAAATGTGTTTTAATTTAGCTTTTCATCGAGATTTATTTACAAAAAATTTTATTTAAAACAGCCATGATACATGAATTATGCGATAATGGACAATTCATTACTACTACCTTTCGCCCGGAAATGTTGGCTAATGCTGATAAATTTTACGGGGTGACATTTTCGAATAAAGTGTCACGTGTTAGTGCTATAAGCAAAGATGATGCACTTAATTTCATCACACAAGTAAGCTTTAAATTTAATAGTTGCCCGGATTTGAATATTTATTAATCAATAATTCTTTGAATCTCTTATAGGAACAACCACAATAATTGTGAATACAAAATTCAAAATAAAATATAATCATATTATTATTTTAATAGGAACTTTCAAAAATGATATAACATATGAATTTACTTTACATATGTGATATATTTGCGCTTAAATTAGTATAATTCAGATTTTTATGAAAGTAATGACTTAATTTCAGGATCTGCCAACTTTAACTATCAGCAAGTTTTAATCTTTGGTTGGTAGTTGATTGTGTGATCATTGCCTATTAAATTTGTATTTTTAAATTACCATTTTATTCTCCTATGAAGAAAAAAGACTGGATCATTTTACATTTTAAATGAGAAACAAATGGGTCATTATTAAAAGTATACCCTTTTTACTTGTTACATATTTCATTTGAGAATAGCTAATACAGTTAATATCATTTAGTCTAGATAGAAATAGTATTTCATAGCCAAAATTTAATATGTATTATTATACCTATTATATCTGAATCTTTTAAAATAGAGCAGTATAGTATTGTAATAATACAGGGTAAATAGATTTTAAAATTGGGAATAAATTATAATGAACCTTTTCCTATTTCTATTTAAAATCTAAAAAATATTAATTAATAAAAAATTACAACCAAGCATGATAATTAGGAAAATTCGATGAAATGCCATAATTTCTATAATTTTAATATAATTAAAGTTTTTTGAACTAATAAATATTTTGTAGATTTTTTTTAAAAAAAAATATAAATTCGTTACATTTTCATATAAAATATATTTATGAAATTTAAATGATTAGTTTACTAGATGTAATATCCGATTCTCACGCAGATGCATTCAATAAATACTTTTGTGAACTAGAAGAAGAAATAATTACGTGTTATTAAAATATTCTTGGAATTTGAAGATTAAAATTGTTTTTATTGGCATTTTTTTATGGATCATTATATATTACGATATTTTTATTAGTAACAGAAAGTTTAAATTTAGAGTCAAATTTTCAACGGTGTTGGCAAATATCGAGGAATGGTATTTAATTTAGTATTATTTTTTTTTTAAATATGTTACATAAATACCAATTATTTATTTGATTATTTCGTCTGCAATTTATCATCGCTAAAAAACCCATACAATAATCATATCTATTCTATCAATATTATCGAAGTTTCATAAATATAAGATAACATGCCTAAAATATAAATATACGTTAGCAACTTCACCTTTTTAAATAACATTAATTGATTAGATTGGTTCTTACATGAACAATTGATAAATGTTCTATTTTGTCTTCTTCGTCCAAAATGCATTGTTCTTCTATATAATCATCTTTTTTTGTGATTTTTTTCTTATCTTTGGCATAACCTTCAGGCACTGTTACCACGAGTTCTTTTAAAGGCATTTTATCTTCTCCAACAGAATTATTTACATCTTCCATAAAAAGCATACTAAGTGGCCATAATTTATTATCTGAAGTTCTTACATCTTGCCCTCCAATGACAAAAAATCCCGATGGAGGTAATCTTTCATATGCTTCTTTTGCTAAATGTTTAATTGCTGTACGGTAAATTGGTATAATTTGTGAGGTGAGAAGATTATTGGGAATATGCGGTACAACAATTAATGCTGTTGGTACCGGTGGCGGTAATGGCATACTGTGTAATATTTTTTCAAGATGAGAAATGTCATCAGATGTTTCTCCAAGGTCACATTTTAACCCCTATTAAATTTAATAAGAAAACAATTACATTAAGTACTTTATGTATTTTATTAATTTAAACTAAATAAAGTTTTATTTACCAACGAAAGTAACATTTTTTGATTTTCTTTGATTCTCTTTTGCCTAATACGCTCGTATTCTGGCATATCTTCTTCATCATTGTCAATTTGATCTATAAGTTCCAAAAAAAGTAAATAATGATATCAACCACAAATAATTACACAGGGAGAAATAAAATTATAAAATTGCAAAAGATTACCTTCAAACTTAGTTAATTTGTCGCTTGAATTGTCATTAGCTATATTATTTGGCTAAAAAAAAAAAAATAATTATCATATCATATTTAACATAATAGTAAAACAAATATTACTTTACATACCTCCATATTATTAAATTTTATCTGAATTTCTTCCCAGTTGGCAAAATCTCTACCAAATCGTTCAACCTATATGAAATTATTTCTTAATATTTATTTATTATCATACTATTTTCACAAAAATGTATCAGGAAATAATATACCATTCGTGAAGTACAAAGTTGAACAAAACTATGTGTTCGTGTTGGTTTAAAAGTCCAAGTTGTACCCATAACAACACTTTTTCGTGCAATAGGCAGGACTGGAATTTCTCGAAGATTTCTTGAAAATATCACTGTACCTGATAATGTTGACTCATCTGAAATTCAAATAGCATAAATTTTTTTATTCTTTGTGATAGTAACATGTTTTGTTATTGAAAATATAAACCGAGTCATACCAGGTGTTACCAACATTCTATTATTATGTGCTTTATCCACTTTCTTAAATGTTGCAATAAATTCATGTGTAAACATTAGAAAGTCATACTGTACACAAAGATATGTCCCAAGTCCAAACGCTTGGCAATATCTCTGACGTTTTGCAACCTTTTATATTAGAAAAGGAATAAATAATTTTTGAGTACTTAAATTAATTTATAAAAGAAAAAAATTTTTTTTGCAGAGAAATTACCAGCTCTTCTAATTCAAATCCCTGATCTATGTATTGGCGGAATAAATTGAAACTGACTGGAACATAAAAACAATGTTCTCGATTATCCCCAATTCCTAAAGTAACTCTTCTTCCGGGCTTTAACAGCCTTTAACGTGTATATATAAGGATGATTAACCAAAGAATTCATCAAAAAAAAACCTAAATGACTTAGATTACCTCCAAGATTCATCAATAACTTTACTCATTTCTATAGCAAACTCTCTCGAGTTTGCAAATCTTGATAAATCACCGTCAATATGTGTTGAATACTCAACACTAATTAAATGAGATAATTAGATATAGCTAGAAAGAAAATTATAATTCTCATTGAATTTACTTTCTTACCAGTTTTTATAAGGCGGGTGGCTTAATATATGGTCATAAGATTCAACTTCAAACATTGGTCCTGTCAAATTTCTAGAATCAGCTTGAAGTATTATCGGTCGATGTTCGGCCGTGATGTCTCTATTCGGTGGTATCGCGAAAGAGCAATTACGTTGTGACAGAGCAACTGCTGCCTAATTATAACAAAAAATAGTTACGAAATAAATAGTTAAGAATAAATTATGCTATTACCAAAAAAAATTTTAAACAAAAGATAGCTTACTGGGTTAATGTCGACGCCAACAAGTCTTTATAATTGAAAGAAGTTTATAAATGGTGAAATTATTTTTAATAAAAAATATTATGCGTTTATAATTTTTACCTCCTTCCAAGAAGAAAAGATTCAATAGCGTCCGTTCCTAAAATATTTAAAATACGTATATTTTAACATAATAATTATTTTTTAAATATCATTTTGATGATAGCCAACCTCTTCCTAGGAAATTTGATAATACTTTTCCATTCTTCTTTGTGAAGCGAAGTAATGCTCTAAAATATTCAGTTAAATAATGAACAATAAAACTAATCTGGCCCTATTCCTATTAAGGAGTAGCTTACCTGCGGACAGTTTGTGGCAACCAAGTACCATGATAATCGGTACCGCTGTGAGTAGCCCCTAATTTTGATTAAAAGTTAACAATGAATACCCAAGCCGTGAAATTTCTCGAACAACTTACATCTTGGAGCACGACCCGGAATGTCAAAATAGGAGCTATCAAAAGATAAAGAAAATAGTTGATTCTCCACAGGTTCATAACTATCTAAGTACATGGCCTGAGATTCAAAGTCATCGAATTTTTTATCAGAACAGAAATTTCTCGTTAAATATGGTTGGTACGAATAATCTTCGCTTGTAACTAATAATTTATCTTTCTCTTGGGGTTCTCCCGTATTGTTGTTAACCAAAACTAATTCAAAACAATCTTCACACATAAGTACTCCGTTATATCCTATAATTAAATAAAATTTAAGTTATATAAAAATTATATGTACTATAGAATATTAAAAATTACCTTTCCTCCAACGAGAAGATTCTTCCGCCCAACAATATGAACATTGAATTCGCCCTCCTTTATTTTGTAGCGAATTTTTAGATTTCTTCCGCATTCCTAATGATATTGAATGTAAATCAAAAGTCGATTTATCATTTAATCAGGTATGATCATGATTTACCTGCATTACGAGCTTTTTGATTTGCAACAGCAAGTGTTGCTTGTTTTGTGATTTGAGCATCTTTGATTTTCTTGACAGCTATTAAAATAATTGAGATTGCATTATTATTATACTAAAAATAAGTAAATACAGTGACTACATACATGTTTCTTCAAATTCATCTTTTTTGTGCTCGTGTTCAGGAAACTTTACTTCAAAACACTAAGTAATATTTTATTTGTAATTAAAAATTTAAATATATGTAATATATGTATTCATATTATAGATGATTAATTACCTGTAGACACAAATCAAACGATGAGAAAAAATTTGATTCGCATGGTCTACATGTCATCCATTTGTCTTCTTGTAATTCACATGAACACACATCACATCGATAAACTTCATTGTATAATTCTAAAAAAGGAAAAGTTATTAATTTAAAAAAAAATGATATATTTGAATATTAAACATTTGATTTTACCTTTTTGATTATAACGTGCTTCATGACTAGGACAATAGAAAATAACGCCCATTTCAAAATGTGAAAGCGGTTTATCCGTACACGAAAGATGATAACTTTTAGCACATTTAGGTTCGAAACATCCGATCGTAGCACCACGTTCCTTACATTTACCACATTTCTAAATTATCAAATGAATTTGAGAAATTCTTATTTCAATTGATAAATTATTAATGCAAATGTATAAACTTATACCATGCTTCTGCCCCTTTTCCAAGCTAATGTTACATTATACCATTCATTAGATTTTGTGAAAAAGACTTCTGGCGAATATTTCGCGCATGCATAATGAGACCAAAAAGTCTTTTGCTTTTCACCATAACGTGTGTAGGTATTAGAAACAAAAGGATACGGAGCTATAAAACCACCAAGTTGATTTGTGTCATCGTCATTGCAAAAGCCGCATATCTTACGCATATTCCATGCTTGTAAATAAAGATATCCCATATCAGTATCCAATGGCATTTTGTCGCTCGTTATATCAAATTCCGGTTCTTTATATGTAGTATCAAAAACATCTCTTTCAAAAGTTTTAACAACTTCACCCTTGGAAGACATTTTAATTGCTTCATCGTCAATGACCGATTGAACGGCGAAAGAACAACGAGGATGTTCGTGATAATTTGGAAATTGATGCGCGAAACACCTGATTAGAGGAATCAAATTAATAACTATAACTTAATTAAAGTATATAGCAAGAAAAATCTCTTACCATACACAGAGTTCAAAGCTTTTATAATCGTTGCCCTCCGATCGCGACTCACAATAAGTACAAAAATACCTAGGGAACATTCGTTAACATTCATTTCGTAAATTATTCGCTTTAAGAGTCAATTTGAAATAAAAGATTCACCTGAATTGTTTAATTACTACATTACATTGATCGCAATATATACACCATTTATCATTGGCTATTTATAAAAAAAAATTGAATTACTATTATTCAACGCTGAGATATTGTTCATATTCACTAACCTGTTATCAACCTTCCATTAAGTGCACCATTTACAACAAATTCCAAACGATAATCATCATTCTCAACTTTATCTTTCTTTTTCTTTAAATCTTTTTTGGTCTCCAAAGAAGTCGTTACAGATTTGACATTCTTTGCAACTTCTTTAATTTCATTTTTTGCACATTTTTCACGAAGTCTTTCGCTGCTAATATCGATCCATTCATCGTAAAATGCTGGGACATCATCATAGTGTATTAGCACTCTACAACCTTTAGTTTCAATGATTGTTGCAGGCACCCATTCCTTCAATCTATCTCGTACTTCAATTTGGTTTCCTGGCTTAAAACGATATTTTAACTTAGCAAGGACATCAGAATTACTTAATAATTTGTCATTACGAAGGCTACGACGTGTATCTCGTCCGATATAATATTCATTCCAATCAAATGATATTGTAGAATCTGTCGAATGATCACTTTGCTGATCAGGTAAACTTGAATCAACATCAACTTTATTATTAGCTGTTTCGGTTGAATCCATTGACTTTGTTACTCTATTTAATGGAGTTACGGTAGATGACTGTATTGTTCGTTTCAAGTTGCTTCTTCTTCTTTTTTGGGGTTTATATATTATTTCTCTCTGTTTAAGCGTTTCCTTATCTAACTGTTCCAGTGCTTTTTGTGCTTCTATTATTTCTTCAAGTGTCATGTCTCTCATTCTCTGACTTCCCGCTGGAATCCATTCGTCGAAATAATCACTCCAGCCATCAAAATGAACCCGAATACGACTATCTTCAACATCTACCATCGTAGCTGGATACCATTCACCGTCACGACTTAGTACTTTGACGCGTTTGTGAAGCTCAAAACCATATTGACCACCACGTTTAAAACGAAACGTAGCGTCATCACCAAAAAGTGACCTACAATAAGTACACAAATCAAGACTACCTATTCTTTGCACATTTAAATGCGCAATTTTACATGATTCGCATATTTTTTCCTTGGATGATTGAAGAATTTTCTTGCGTATCGGAGTCTTATTATTATTATGTCTTACAGTCCTTTTAATTTTAGGCATTTTTACCTCAAATTCATCGTCACTAGAACTACTGAGAGAGTTATAATGTGATTCGGAAGCGCTAAGAGATAGTGATGATGATGATATTGATTCAGTGCAACTACTTAAAGAATCAGAATCAGAATCTGGTACACTACTAAGGGATTCAGAGTCTGAACCCAATATTTCCTTTAGTTTATATGCGTTCAATTGACGTTCTTTATCAATATCACGAGAACATACGGAATCTTTTTTCGGTTTATCATCAACACTATCAAATTTTGGCGAACTCTCGGACGTGGAAGCTTTAGTTTGATTCTGGTCTTGATTAGACTTATTTTGCCTATTATCTGCATCATCTGATAAATGATTTTCTTTTTGAACTTCATTTACTTCATCTTCCGATAAGGCTTTCAATCTTCGGCTTTCTACAGATATCCATTCGTCAAATCTTTTACCCCAACCATCGAAGTGAACTTTAACTCTGGATTTTTCTACATTTACTATTCTTGCAGGATACCAAATTTTATCTATATTAAGTACTTGAACTTTTTGGTCTAATGTGAAGTCATGTGCAAATGCTTTGATTCGTGTTAATTGAGGTGCAAATAATGGCACACATTTTGTACATAATTCAAGAGCACCTACTTTCTCTAATTTATCAAAAATGTTTTCGCAAGAATTGCATTTTTTTTTAACAACATTCGTGGGTGATTTTGGACGAGAATGAGAATTATTTTTCTTTTGCTTATGATCAATAGATTTCTTTGTTTGAGACAATTGTAATTTCGGTGATCCGCGTACTTTTTTTGTATTATCACCAGAACTCGTTTGTTTTTTCGTGGGCCTCTTTTTCGTACGCTTAGATTTTAACGAAAAATCTGTTTGAGGATCTTCTGTAACTGTAGTAATAGATATAGATTCTCGTTTTTCAATTTTATCAATTAAGTGTTGTTTAATCATTTCATAATTATTTTGTGAAGAATTCTCCTGTATTTCAAGAATTTCTTCATCGCTCATTACTCTTAATCTTCGACTATCCTTCGATACCCATTCGTCATATTTTGCATCCCAACCATCAAAACGTACTCTAACTTTGGTTTTGTCCATTGCAATGATTGTGCCAGGATACCAAATACTATCAACATTAAGAACTTTAACACGTTGATTCACAGAATAACCCTCAAATTTTGCAAAAGCAAGATCTCTAATACTTCGACGTGTAAATATAGTCCCAGAAAATTTACCTTTCTCAATTTTAGTTGAATTATTTGAAGAATGATTAGGATTTTCTTTATCATCACATGTAACTTGAATAGTTTCTTCGGGTTTTAATCTTAATTTTGCATAGCTGAAATCCACCTTTGAAAATGAATTAGTTGATTCGGCTGTTGAATCAACATCCGGATTCTCATTACCGGTAAGTTTAATATCAGAATCTTCAAATTCTGACGAGTCATCTACAATTATAAATGATTCTTTAGGACTTTGAATATCTTCAGAATTGTTTTTCAAATGGTTAATAGGAAGACTTTCTTTTAAGTCATTCCCTGCTTTTTTATCAATAGGTATGGCAAAATCATCATTAGTTACATTAGTAGAAGTGAACGAGTCTTCGAGTGTTTCACTAACAACAGGTGTATCAGACTCGTAGCTTAATTTTGATTGATTACTTATTTTCTCATCTTTTTCCCGCTGAATTTCATTTTCTGAATTTGAAATTATGTTCGTACTTTCATTTCTTATAATTGGACTTAAAATCGGCGTTGCTGAAATTTCTGGAATTGAATTTGATGAAACAAGTGAATTTTCTTGGAACTCATTATTAGAATTAAGTAAGTTATTATTTAAACTAGAATCAGCAATTAATTTTGTATATTTAGTTAACTTTGACTCCAAATTAATTGTCTCATTCGCGTCTAATGACGCAAAATTAGACACTACTATATCATTAATAGTTTCTGAATTATTAATAATTGGATTAGAATTATAGTAAGAATTTTCTAAAACAGTATTAGAAATAGTTATTGGTGGATCATTAATGTCTTTTTCCTTGATAACCATATCATCTAATTCCATATTATCGCACGCAACTCCACTATCCCGGCGACTAGAATTTTCATTCTGAGAAAGTGAATCATCAAAAATTATACTTTCACTGGAATCAATTATATTACTATAGCTATCATCATTAACAACTTCCGAAATATTACTTATACCCTTAGAACTAAGCATATCTGTATTAACTTGTTGCAAAATCTGAATATTCTCTGATGAGGTAGAGTCATGTACACTTAGAATTGAATCGATTTCCACATCCAACTTTATTTTCTAATAGGATAAAATAAATAAGCTTTTAAAAACACGTTATTCAATCACCCACAAAGTAATTGAATAAATCTTACCTTTTTTATACCAAATACTTCATAATTCTCATCATCTGCTAAAAACGATTTAGAAGAATTGTTATTTAATCGATTGATCTTGTCCTTGCTAACTCTTTCCTTTAAGTTAATTTCGATTTTGTTTACATTTTTTTTCTTTGTAAATAGTTTACGGCCATCATTTTCATAAATGTGAAATGATTTTGTTAATGAATCATTAGATAAAGGAACGGTCGATGACCTTTCATTATCGGAAGGTCGGATCCGCTTTTTAGACTCATTGTCATTCTGCTTTATGAATTCAGATGATGGTTTTGGAATAATTTGATCGTTAACAGTGTTAATATTATTCTTCGAATGTTCAACGACCTTTTTCTTTTTGTTTCTTTTACTCTTTTTAGCTTGCGTTATCTGAATAAATAATATTCATTTATGTATTATTATTGACAAAAGAATATATTTTAACAAAATAATTTTGTTTACTTACATTTTCAACATTCTCAACATTTTCATTGTTATTATCCGTTGGATAGGTAGGGAACTGCGGAATTATAGCTTGATGGAAATCGTTAGGCTGAGTTCCATGTTGATAAAAGTGTTGGACTGGCCGTTGTGAAGGAAAATATTGACAGTTATTAGGTTGTTGAGGATAAGAATAATTAGGTACTGGATGATGCGAATATTGCTGCGAAAAATGATAAATTGGATAAGGTTGTGTTCCGAGAGGAAACATTTGGCGATTCTGCCTATCAAATTGCTTTGGGGCGTATTGACACTCCTAAAATTAAGGATTAATAATTTTAAATTTATGATAAATTGTTTTGTATTATATCCATTGAAGTATATACCGTTGAATTTGCGATCGACCAATTTGAATTGTTGTTATTATTTGGCGCGTGCCATGTTTGATAACCTGAATGCGAGTTAAAACGTGGTGAAGCTGAATAACTGTTGTTTTTCAGATTTTGGTCTGAGGTGTACGCATATTGATTATTTGTAACTTCATTGTGGCGGATGAATCCACGTTTGTTCTTCTTAAATTTATCATGTGATTGATTTGGTGGTCGAAAATAAAGAGGAGGATTGATCTGATGTGCATTATTGAAAGTTGATACAATTGGCCGTTGTGGGAAGTAATTTTGAGGAGGCGGTGGCAATAAATGGTGAGGATTTACTCCTTTATTAGAGTAACAAAATTAATAATCAAAATATTTATTTAACGACTTTCAAATATACCAACTTACCGGGAGGAGTTTCAGTTCTATTTAATTGCCAGTTAGAAGTTGAAGTTGCTTCGACATTTTGTTCAAAATTCTCATAAGGGAGATACATGGTTTTTGACTTGTTGAAAGGGTTTCCGCGTCCTTAAAAGTAAATAAAAAAAGAAATATGAGCAAGAAAGGTTTTTACGCTAAAGCCTTATCAGACACTCAAAAGTTCCTGAAATTTCGTTAATACATACTGGTAACACTCTTAAAAGGAGTTACGCGTCAGAATACGGAAGAAGGTTTGTATTATATAGAAATACTTTTGGTGTTTACACACTTGACTGTCGCTGTTGTATATCGCTAAACCCACGTATAAATTTCTTATAGAGGTTTAACCAGTCGAGAATGCAAAATTCGGCTTGAGGCAGCACGAGAATTGCACAAGGGGAATCAAAGAACTGACTGGACTGGTTAAATAAGGGGGGAGGGTGGTTCGTTCGCAAATTTCGAATCATTTTTTACTATATAAATAAAATGCCGGGTAAATGTCGTGTAACTTTTAACTGTAAAAATTTTTTAATCAATCGTACTTTAACGGCTTTTATAAAAAAAGCTACCTCACGCGTGAATACGAGGCTCTTTTTAAATTTTTTAATAATGGTAATTGGTAATTGACTTTTCATCTGATCCATTGTTGCTACCCAATCCCGGGTTTTTTTTTTTTTTTTTAAAAAAAAAAAAAAAACCTGAAATAAGGGATATTTGTAATAAATTAATTTTTTTTTATATATTTTTAGTTTATAACGCTATACAAAACTATATAAAACTGATGCCTGTCTCACGTGATAACATCTCTGATAAGATCCGTTGGTTGATTAATTTGATCCCTTCCTTCTAATAATTAACGCACAAACTCTTCAAAGCAAATATAAAACTTTAAAGTAATTTAATTTATTCCTTTAAACATATTTGAGCTTTTTAATATATTTGAAATAATAGATTTGTTATATTAATCAATATTAATCAATAATTGCACTTAACTGTTTAGTTCGTCAATTAGTAAACAAAATGAATATAACAACACATTTTTTGATATACATCAAATTCTTTGCAATTGATTCATAGATTACAAATTAAACTATTATATAATACAACTTTTCAAATAGTCATCGTTACGTTAGTTCAGATTACTAATATTAAAAAAACCTCCTTTTTAAACATTATATTCCATATAATAAACCTTTTTTTTTTTTGGCATATTTTTTATATAAAAATGCCTATTTTACTTGCTAACCTTCAAAATTTACTAACTAATAAATTTATCTAATTTACCTTTTTATATAGTAATTTTTTAAATTTATTTTACAAAAAAATTTTATAAATTAAAATTTTGCATATTATAATTACAAATAGATTTTATATATTAGTTAATATTCATTTACTAATAATCATTTGGCAACAAACATTTATTAATAATTATTTTACTAAATAAAACTATTTTATTAATAATAAAGTTTTATATAGTTTGATTTAATTTAGATTTTTGAATTATTTTTAATTGGTTAAAATAGAAAAATTTAATAATTTACTATTAAATAATTAAAAAAAAAATAAATTATAATTTGTTATAATTATTTTATTAAAATACAGTAGTAATAAAATTGTATTTCTAGTATTAATAAATAATAAGTTAAATTTATCTAATTTGAAATATTTGTTAATACTGTATTTTTCCAAAATTAGTCACCCTTTTTTTACAAAGAATTTTAGTTAAAAAACTTGGAAAGTGCTTAATTTTGGAAGTTTTTTTACTAGTATTTTATATAAAAATCTTTTTAACAAAGTTTGAAAAGTTGATAGAAATGTTTAATTCCAGGAGATGACTAATTTTGGAAAAATGCAGTATCAAAAATATAATTTTATTATTATTTAAACCATTTTAATAAAATAATTATAATAAGTTATAATTTATTTTTTTTTAATTATTAAACTAAATTTTTTAAATATTGCTAAATATTATTAGTTATAATAGTCAAATGTAATACCAGTTAATTATTAGATTTTTAATTTTAGTTAAAATATAGTAAAATGCTAATATAATAACTATTATTATTAGTAAATTTTTAGCAATTTTCACTTTTCTTATTTAATTAATTAAAACTAAACTATTTAAAACTTTAATTAATAATTATTTTATTAATAGTTTAAAATTCTAATCTACTTATTTTAATTTTAAGTTAATTTAAGCTAATTCTTTATTTAATATAATATAAAAAATTACAATTTAAAGAAAAGTATAATTTTAATTATACTTTTACTTAAATTTTATAATTTCAATTTAAATTATATATATATATATATTATTGAAATATTTTATTTTATTGTATTAGCAATGCAAATCTTTATGTTTATCATTGCTATTTTAAAGAAAGTAGTAGTGAGATATAATAAGCAAATTAATTAACATAAAAAATTTATAAAAAAGAAAAATGATAATACATTATACAGGCAATGAATGAATTTATTTTACATTATTTTTTTTAATTTTCATTAGTAAAATAATTATTAATAAAATATTTTAAAATAATTTTATTAAATTATTAGTAAAATATTTAGTAGATTTCATAATTACCTAATGTAGAAAATAGAATATTTTAAATTAAAAATAATGCATTTTAAATAATGTTTACCTATTGATTCAAATTAATTATTTAGCAATATATATGTAAAATATAACTTTATATGATAAATGGTTTGTAATTTAATAATGGAATTTTTTTAAATAATTACTTTTATGTATTTTTTCTATTATTTACTTTAATAAAATTACAAATATATTGTAAAATTAAAAAAAAAGTAATATTTTTTTTAATTATTACACATTCCCTATAAAAAGTATTTATATTTAAAATATAATTAAAAACTTTTTAAAATATATTTAAAATATACTTAAAATATATTTAATTTAAAAATTGCGAAATACTTATAATATACTTAAAATGTATTTAAAATTATCTTAAAATATATTTCTAATATATTTAATTTTTGTCCAAATACTTAAAATATACTTAAATTATATTTAAATTAAAATTTAAGTATATTATAGATATATTTTTTACATACTTAAAATATTCTTATAATATATTTCATAATATATTTTAAGTATATTTTAAGTATGTAAAAAATATACTTATAATAATCTTATAATATACTTAAATTTTAATTTAAATATAATTTAAATATATTTTAAGTATATGGGCAAAAATTAAATATATTAGACATATATTTTAAGATAATTTTAAGTATATTTTAGATATATTTTAAGTATTTTCAATTTTTAAATTAAGTATATTTTAAATATATTTTAAGTATATTTTAAGTATAATACTTTTTATAGGGATTTATATATTAAGAATAAGTAAAAAAAATATACAATTGTAATTATAAAAGTAATTAATTAAACTATTTATACAAAATAAACTACTTATCATCCCATCAAAATAATGCAATATGCAATATTATAAAACTATACAAATATAATAAATATGAAATAAATCTTTTTTTACTAATCCTTTAAGTCCTGTAATTTAAGTTTAATAAACTATAAAATTATATCAAAATGAATTATATTACTATTATAAAAATATCAAAAATAAAAGGTAATATAAAGAATTAAACCTATAATCCTATTATAGGATTTCTTCACCTATCAGTAAAATAGTATATAAATAATCAATTAAACTCATTGCTCTGCAACATCAAATAAACATATACATAATTGGTATAATAATTAAATATTATATATAACTTTATATAGTCTTTTAAGTATATAGGTATAATTCATAATTTAAACATTATGGATATATAGATATAAATTGTAGTTTAAATATTATAGATATACAAATATAAATATGTAATCTAAATGTTATTGTTATACAGAAAACAATTTTTATATAGTAGATTTTGATAATTTTACTACTGATTAACTTAAATTAGTAAAAATTAAAAACTATTAAAATTCACCAATTCCATCAATTTTCCTTGTTTAACTGATTTACAAAATCCAAAAAAGTTAGTAATATTTAACATTCCAGTACTCTTAATTTCTTTAAAGACAGTTATTAAGAGAAAATGCTGAAATTTCAGAAAAAAAAAAAACTAAACTAAAAAAAAGGAAAGTTATAACTCTTAAAAAACCTAAAAAAAAATTAAGTAAAAAAGAAAATAAATACCAAATCTCTATCTATTATATCAATCCTTCAAACTTTAATCAATAAAAAAAAGTCTGCTTTTTAAATAATTATTTTTACTTTAACTTGTACTTTATAAAAGACTTTTGCAATACTTTTAAAAAAAAGAAAATTAATGGAAAAATTCTACAAGTGCATGTATTTAAAACCTAGCCATTTAGTATATAACTATTACAACTAATAAAAATACTATAAAAGCTGAAGTTTCACAGAAGTAAAAAATCTTTTAGTAAGGATTACTCCAATTAAATAACTTTTCTAAAATTAGGAGTTGTTTAAATGAATTTTAAAGAATTCCCTTAAAGTTTTATAAAATAAAAGCATTTTACAATTACTCAGATAAGAAAAACTTAAGCTTTTTCTTTAGCAACTTCTACTAAGAAAATGGCCAAATGATTAGTAAATAAAAAATATAGTTAATTCTTCAAAAAAAGTATTATTTATTAATAATAAAATAATCATTGATAATATAATTATAATTATAATATAATTATTAATAAAATAAATGCAATTTTTTATTAATCTAATTAAAATATAAAAATCAATTTTTATTTTATAATAGTTTTATAATAGTTTTAGTAAAATTTTAGCAGTTTATAATAAGTTTTCTCAAATTTCATTTTTCTTTAAAGTTTATGCCAACTTTTTAATAAGATTTTAATATAATTTTAACAAATTTTACTATTTTAACATTTTGCCAACTTGCCAAAATCCTTTAATTTATCTAGTAAACTTATTTGTATTTTATGAAAATTAATTCAAGTATTGTAAAAATTAAATTACAAATATTACAAAAAGTAGAATCTTAAATATCTAATATATAATTTATAACTAATTCATAGTAAAATTAAACTTTTTTAGTTTTTTATAATCTAATAATTAGATTTAAATATTTTCATTAATTGTTCAAAGCAGGGTGAAAAAGCATGCAATATTTGTCTATCTTACATGTGATTTATATAACAATCAATGTATATACTTTATTTAAATTTATACTATTAGCTTAGACTTTATTAAATTTAGTTTAACCTTTATAAAATGATAATAAATTTAGTTGTTTTTAAATTTTTCTTCATGATTCATTAATAATAAACAAAAAAACATAATAAATGAAAAATCTTAATGCAAAATTGTGGCAATTTCCAGGGTCTGTACTCTTAATGATATACTTTTTAAGCCATTTTCATTTGAAAAACTTCAACACATTAAAAAATGTAAGAGGTTACAAGAGCGATTGTCTAAAGAAAAGTGATTTAATTTCAATGATTAAATTTTAACAAAATTTTATTTATTAATTATTATTACAAATAGTTTAAAATTACATATTATTTAATTTTGATATTTAATTTAAATTACTATTTATCAATAAAAAACTTTAACAATTAAGTTTGACAATAAAGATAATGTTTATAAATTATAACAAAAAACTATATCTGATATGATAAAATAATTGCAAAAACTGATTTTTGCATTTTTAAATTTGCATTTTTTTTTATACTATAGTAAATTATATAATTTAGCGTCTAGAAATCTTGTAATGATTACATAATTTGTTTTGCTAAAAGCAAATAAACGCGTCACAACCGTCACACAATATATAAATACTCGTGTTTTTTTATTTTTAATTTTTTAATATATAATGTCTGATAACAATTACTTCAAGAATTGGAAGTTTTATATTATTGATGCAAGAATACCAAAAGACAAGTTAGAAAGTTGCAAGAAACGAATACTTTCTCATTGCGGACAGCTTATAGATAATTTTGATAACGCTGATGTTATATTGACTCTTTTTAAAACTCCAGCACGAATAGTGCGTTATGTGTCTCCAGAAACGCGCAAACCTATATGTTCTATTGATTGGGTTGAAGAATGGTGTGCAATAATATTTATTATCTTTAAAAGAATGTTTTAAAAAAAAAACTAAAGGATTTATCTTTAAAGTGAAACAGCTAGAATGAGAGTGCCATATGATGGTTTTTTGATAAATATGAAACCTGAACCACTTAACGAAACTTTTGTGCAGAACAAAGCTTATCAGAGTAAATCAACGAACAGTGATGGAGGGTAAATTGTCCAATTCTTAAATATTTATTCCTTTTAACTAAATTTTTTAATTTTTCATAGGGATTCTTCCGATTCAGGAAATAATTTTACAGACGAAGAACTAAGTTCAGATATGGAATGTTTGTATTTCTTATAAGTTTCGAGCAAAATTGTGTAAAGTGAAAATAAAAGGTTATTTATAATTTTTTTTGATTGAACTATAGTCGATTTAGATCCTTGTTTCATTAATACAAAATACGAATGTCTTCGTCCTACACCTCTTAAACCCAAGTACAATCAATGCCTCGTGGAATTGCTAGAAGTGATAGAACATGCACGTGAGTTAAATGGTGAAGAGAGAAATGCATTGAGTTATCGTCATGCGATTGCAGCACTAAAGGTAATTTAAATAAACCAATAAATATAATAAGATTAACTTATAAGATTCGGTTTAATTAGGTTTATCCACGTAATATTGAAAGCTACGCAGAAGCTCGTAAAATAATAGGTAAGGGAAATATGCCTTTATTGTTATTGAAGTTTGACTTAAGATATAAAATGAGTTTCATCATAGGAATTGGTCCGAAAATTGGAAATCATATAAAAGAATTTTTAACAACAGGTTATTAGCACATATATCTTTATTTTTAAAAATTATACATGGTTTGAATTTATTCATTGTATTGAATTATAGGCACAATTCCTGAAGCAGAAGAAATTAATGCAAGTGAAAAATACCAAACTTTGGATATTTTTTCTCGCGTTTATGGTAAGATTGATAGTTGTCAGTCTAACGCGAAATGAACTCCACTAATATATTTTAATTTCGAATTTTTTGAGGTGTTGGCTATAAAACAGCTCGGAAATGGTACCAAAAAGGATATAAGTCGATAAGAGAGTGTATGAAGGATCCATATTTAACTCATGTTCAGAGATTGGGTTTGGAACTATTTGATGATTTTCAGAAAAAGTAGATAGAAAATAATATTTTGAAGAATTCTTTTTGTCATGAAATTTAATTAATTGAAATTTTAGGATGTCAAGACAAGATATACAAGAAATATTAGATATTTTGAATAAAGTTATTAAAACCATGTACCCAGATTGTATGATTACTCCTGTTGGAGGATATCGTCGCGGAAAAGAATTCAGTGGAGATTTAGATGTTGTCGTATCGCATCCTCAAGAGACCGTTGCGAATAATTTGTTAAAGGATATAGTAGAAATACTTATAAATAAAGGTTTGTAATTTGTAAAATTTGTAATTATTTCAACTTAATTGATTTGGACATCTATTTAGGACACCTGAAACATAAACTTTTTTATGGGCAGCCAAGTGCTAAAAATAAAAAGGATGTTCCGAGTGAACTTATATCCTCCCATAAAAATATCATGGACAACCTTGATAAGGTATAAACTTATGTTTGTTTTTTACAATAATCTTGTTAACTCATTATTTAAAATTTTTAGTGTTTTTGTGCTTTTATCCAACCAAGTACACAAATATGTCGGCAAGTTGATCTTATAATAGCTCCTTATTCCCAATATCCAACAGCTGTTCTTGGTTGGACAGGTATATTGTCTTGTTGATTTCATTAAACGCGCATTAAACTAATATCGCTATGATAATTTAGGGTCGAAACAATTTGAACGATCGATAAGAAATTTTGCAAAGAAAGAGAGAAAAATGACATTTGCGTCACATGGGCTCTTCTTAAATGTTGTTCCAAGAAGACGCGTCTGTGTAACTTCTGAGAAAGATGTCTTCGATATTTTAGGAATACCTTGGGTGGAGCCTGAAATGAGAAATTGTTAACTTATTAGGAAGATATATAATGTTCCATCACTTAATTTTACTTTAGAGTTAGGTTCAAATTTTGTAACAGTAGTTAACTAGTTTATAAAGAATCGTGTATAATTACTAAAGTCTTATTATATTTATCTATTTATTGTGTTAATTTATTACGCTATTGGTTAAGTATTGCGTGTTTCAAATTTGTCTTGTTAAAAATGCATATTATTTGTCGATAACTAGTTATACATAATACCATCGTCTAAATTTCTATATTTAAGATAAGATAAGAGGAGCGCTTGAGGTAACATTCGAAGTTAACTTTGCAAGAAAATAATCATTGGGACGCTATAACGCTATACATATCCGCACTTTACATTATCGTAGATCGTAGCCTTGCCGATTTTACATATTCATGTTCATGTATACTTTTGACAGAGGATGTCCTTTTCCAAATTGACGTTTACCATATTTAGTTCATACATTAAAATCCCACAGACAATTTAATGACAAAAGATCCACGTGTCAAATAAGGCACTGTTTAAATATCTCGGGTACTCTCAAAGGAGTATTTAAGTGATACGGTACGGGAGTTTTCATTAATACAAAGAAAATTTGGCGAGCATAAAAAATATACACCTTTTATTATGTAATTATGTAGAAGGAAAAAATACTGGAGAGTAGAAATTGATAGCTTATTACAAATAGCACGGGAACCTTTCCTTTTATTATAAAGAACACGAGTCAATTTTTTTTTACGTTCATTCTAACTGGAATAGTATTGTTACGGCATTGTTCACTGTAAAGGAAATCGAGATTTTAAAACACATGCTGAACCTTATCTCAGATTTATAAGTATGTTGATAAAACTTTCCACGTTGTTGTAATACTGCATGGTTATTACATAATATCAGATTTCACGTGTAAATCTGTGTAATTTATGTAAGCTTGCATAAATTTGAAAAATACAGTCAACTCTATAAATGCACTACTTATAAATGCATTCCCTCCCAAGTATATATGACCTCTAATTGTAAATGCACACCCTTTGTAATTGCACGCTTTTTCTGGTCCCAAGGGAAAGGGGGTGCATTTATAGAGTTGACTGTACATTTTTTACTTATCGGAATTGATACTACTATCATATATAATTAAAAATTGGCAATTCACTAAAAATAAACTTAGGCTTTATACAAATGCTCAAAATATTGAAAATACAAAAGAAGCTTTAAAAGGTTGCAATAGTATAGCTAAGCAAAAATTTGCTTTAACCGTCCATCATATATGATATTTTGGCAGATATTATGGATAAAGCAATTAATGATGTATTATTTGCTAAGATATTTTTATTAAACAAGATACAAATCAACAAAAAAATATTTTTATTCAAATTCTAAATTGTAAAAGCTAACTTAAATCACAAAATAATTTTTTTTTTTTAAAAAAAAAAGTATAGATTTATTTAATATGAAGTTAGTAAGTAAATGAGTTAATTCAAAAAAAAAAAAATATATATATATAAATTTTGAATAATAAGAATTATTGCGTAGCATACGGATGTGCAATGCAACAATGTTGTGTATGGCATTTATTCCAGAATAAGAAATGCATTATGTAGTCTCCTTTGAAACTCCTACGAAATCATAAATAGCAGTAGTATAAACATTGACAATTATAAAAATTGCCATTACAACTACCATATTCTCTCAATAGTATAAAAATAGAAGAAATATAATTTCTTAACAACCCAATGGTTACAATTCTTTGGAAATTCAGGTTATCAGGAAGAGATTTTTTTATCTTTGAGAGCAGAAATTCTTTCCCAGTTTTGGCATTTCTAAAGAAACGTGTGCGATATTAATATTTTCTATCTTAGTTGTTAAAATTCAATCAATAAATATTCAGAATTTACCCCTCCGCTGTCAGCACGATTCCCAATCTGAATTATTGTAATTTTTAATATCCACAAGTTGTGGCAGAATCCAATAATCACATATCCCTTAACTTATGCGAAAACTTTACATAATCTATAATAAACTCGGATTTACGAACTAAATCCCAAGCTTTCATAGCACTTTTAAACCTGTAATTAAAAATTGTTTAATACATAAATTATTAATTAGAATCGGGGGAAAACGATTTTTACCATTCTTTTTCAGAAATTTGTCCCTTTTTGCCACTTTTTTTTGGCAATTCAAATATTTGATTTCTCATTGATTCTGCGAAAACTAAAAACGTATCTGCATTTGGATATTTAGAGCTTGTTCCTTTTCCCTTAGGATGAAGAGGTTGACTCTCAAAAGGTAGAAGAAATAAATTTGGCATTAGATATTCATCAGAACGTTTATACATAGTAAAGGTTTTAGCCAGGGAGACCGTACCTACTTATTAAGATATTAGAAAAAATGCTGCATTACTAAACCTGCAAATTATTTTAAAGGAATTTATAGTAATTGTAATTTACCAAAAATTTTTAAATTGGATTCTTGAAACATTTTATTCAACATATCACACACGAGATCATATCTAACTGTTGTAAATTCGGTAGGAGATGTTTTGTTACATACCAAAACTGATTAAAAACAACAAGCAATAAACGTTAATATTTAATTAAAATAATCAGGAGTTAGATTTGAGTTAGCTTACCGATATCAGGATAATATTCGACTCCATTATCACTCGAGGCCAACGATGGTATTGTTGGGTATTCTGGAATTCTATACTTCAACATTTCAGCTTTCTTCAAAAATTCCCATGTAGCGTAATCAACACTTTCAGTAACAACCATAACAACGTTACAAACAGAATACAGAAACAAAGCAAGTTGTAGAGACTAAAATTTTAAAAGTTAAATAATAAAATTAATGTCAATACTTTTAAAGATTGATATATTCTAAATTTAATATTAACCTGTAACTCGAGCCAAACCTCAGGTGTTATATTATCAGGAATATAGTCATTTCTAATCGCATGTTCTAAAACTGAGAGACTATAAATCGGCTACGTAAAAAAATCAATTTGCATTAGATAATTTAAATGTGATATTTTAATATTATTAAATATGCTACCTGAGCATCCAAAAGAACTATTTTTTCAGGAGTGACATGAATATCAATTCCAATTGTTTCGTGACTTGCAAAATTAAGGGTATCAATCGATTGACTCGAAAACGCCTGATATTACGAGAGATTTAATAAAGGCTCAAAAATACTAAAGTGAAAGATGATTATTATGCAAAAACTATACATTCTGTGGATCTTGGCATAAAGTAGAAATAACGGTGGATTTTCCTGATCCTTGCGGTCCGAAGACACCTACAACGAAATGACCAGGAAGATCACTTAGGATCTATAATTATATTAATACCGATTTCAAGTTAATATGTCCTTAGAATAGTGGAATAAATTGCATTCGAAAATTACGCTTACATACTTTTAGCAACCAACCTTTAAGACAGATTCATTATTAAATATTCCTTTTTCATTAATCATTTTAACAAATGGTCTTTCAAGAGATTTTCCTCGCGTGCCAAGAAGTTTAGTCTCTGCACGTGAAACATTGGCCGAAGTAGCTCGATTAAATAAAGCTTCTTCCCGAACTGGTGTCGTGCTGGATAACCGAGTTTGGGGAGAAGTTTCTGCTATTGGCTTTGTCGTTGTAAGTTGAGGAGGACTAGTTGTTTGAGAGGAAGTAGTTGTTTGAGATGAACTACTTGGTTGAGGTCTACGTTCTAGAATGACTGGTGCCTGATAAAAAGATTTGGGAAGGTGATCTGGTGTTGGTGTCGTCAAAGATCCTGAAGGATGATCCTAACATGTAAAGAATTTCAGAAAAAACTTGAATAAAAAAACTAAATTGTAAAATAAGACGGTTTTTGTTTAATACCTTTAGTTTTCTTTCGCGTCTTCGACCCCCTCCCTCTCCACGTGTACGTTCTCCTCTTCCACCTTCTCTACGTCCTCCTTTGGGATGACCATTCCCACCCATGTCACGAGCACCTCTTCCGGATCTTCCATCTTCATTGTGCTCTTCTGTATCGCGGTTGTTACCTCCTTTTGCCATAGGAATAATGAAAATTAAACAACAAGAAAGTTGATATAAAACGATATCAAAGAATTCAATCTTTATAGTTCGCTCTTGATAGTTCACGTGATAAATATATCGTTTCGGAATTTATATATTTGTATCGGAAAAATTCCCGTAATCGATCTTTTGAACTACTACTTTTGCTATGTCGGTATGTCCTAACCAACATACCTTTAATGCTATTTATTTTTTTCCAAACTTATAACATTTATATTTCTTTTAGCACTCTGAAGATGAATATAGTCTCCATACAAGTCATATTGGGTATTGTAGTTCTTCAAATTTCGAAAATTATTAGTTTACCCTAATTTAATGGATAATTTTTTATCTTAGCAATGATGTGTCTGAAGATCCTGTTCAAGACCATCGACCGCGATTATTGATTATGGGTCTAAGGAGGTGGGTAAGAAATATCTAAGGTAAACTTATTTTCATTCAAAAGTCTGTTAAGAAAAAATTCTGATAATTAAATTCATAGGAGCGGCAAATCCAGTATTCAAAAAGTCGTATTTCATAAAATGGCAGCTAACGAAACCTTATTCCTTGAAAGTACCAATAAAATTATTAAAGAGAATATCACGTAATTATTCTCGGATTTTTTAACTAATTTTTTTTTTCTTTTTATTTCGAAGTATGCTTTTTTTGATTTTAACTTTTAAAATATGTAGATCATTTATTGATTTTCAAGTATGGGACTTTCCTGGACAAATCGATTATTTTGATACAGCAACTTATGATTCAGATGTCATTTTTGGAGAGTATGGAGCGTTAATTTTCGTAATCGATGCACAAGTAAGTTCTCCTTGTGATTATAAAATTATTAATCAAATGTGACAATAATGACGTCTTTTAAATCCAGGACGATTATATTGAAGCTCTCAATAGATTGCATCAGACTGTTTTACGTGCTCATGAAAAAAATAAAAATCTCACTTTTGAAGTATTTATACATAAAGTTGACGCTTTGTCCGATGAGTTCAAAATCGACACACAACGCGACATTCAACAGCGCACTACAGACGAATTAGCAGATGTTGGATTAGAAAATGTTCCTTTGTCTTTTTATTTAACTAGTATTTATGACCATTCAATCTTTGAAGCTTTCAGCAAAGTTATTCAAAAATTAATACCTCAGTTACCAACTTTGGAAAATTTGTTGAATATTTTGTGTGCGGTAAGTTATTTATTTGTTAATATTATTAAGTTCAAAGTATTAAATTAACTTTGTTGAAAATTTATTAGAATTCCGGAATAGAAAAGGCATTTTTGTTTGATGTCAATTCGAAAATTTATATTGCTACCGATAGTTCTCCTGTTGATATGCAAACTTACGAAATTTGTAGTGATATGATTGATGTTATTATCGATATTTCTGAAATATACGGGTACATTATTTGCTAAGAATTATTTTAGTAGGTTATAATAATTACATAAATTTGAATCTTTTCATACTGACATTATTGTTTATTTTTTTCAACAGTCGTACGACTTCATTTCATCAAATTAACGACGAACTATATGGAGATGATCAAACACAAGTCGAAACCAATGGGAAGGCAGGAAATTACGGTACAACTACTGACACCGCAAACGATGCGGCGTCACTAATCAAGTTAAACAACGGAATGGTACTATGTCTCAGGGGAGTGAACAGGTATATATATTCAAATTCTTATTTAAAATATTAATCAAGAAACTCGTGACTAAACGATCAAATTTAGATTTCTTGCATTGGTTTGTCTCCTTCGATCCGATAATTTCGAAAAGCATGGTTTAATAGATTATAATTTTCAATGCTTTAAACAAGCAATAGCAGAAGTATTTGAATTAAAACGCCGTAGTGCTGAAAGATTGAGACATGAAGGAATGAGACTTTCAGGAGATGTTAATGAAGGGGGATAAATTTTTAGTTATATAAGCTAATTTCATGTATCAAAACATAGAATCATTATTTATTTAGCTAATGTAATATTATTTATTAAACATTAAATTATTATTTTAAATAATAAATAGGAAACTAAACTAAGCGTTGTAGTTAACATGCATAATCTCTATCAGTAAATTTACACGACAAGATGTAAACCACGTTGTAATCTTAATAGGCCTGATTACATTAACTTAACTCTGGCAAAATGATAATAAATGTTTCGAAATTATACTTTTTAATTGATAAATATTTATTAATTAATAAGGACTGGTATCTAGCTTTATGACGAATATTTTTTTTAAAAAAATTTGAGTTCATAATAATGGTAATACCAAGGAAAGAATTGTTATAAATTAGCTATTTAACAATCAATAAAAATAAATAAATAAAATAAAATAATAATCATATTAAATCTAAAGACAAATTATAAAATTAAATAAGTATAATTGATAGTGAAGTAAGAAAAATATAATAAACACACCTTGAAACCTCAACCACTACAATACACTTCAAGAGATATTCATAAATGTCATCAAATCAAATTTTCTTTACCTTGATATACTTAAATGTAATGTTTTTTTAAGAGGGTCTTATCCAAAATTTAATATGTCCCTTTCGGCAGGTTGTTATGATGGAATCTTCACGAAATGTTATTGAACATAATGGATCAGAATCAATTGACTTTGCCTGAAATAATTTATATCAATTAGACATGTATTAGTTATCATTTAATTAAAACGCAATCCTATAACTCACCATAACTGGTTGTAAAATAGCCACTTCTGATCTGGGTAAACATGGATGAACCGTGTTTTTTGTAAGCTCATGTTCAACTATATTTCGCCTTAACGCGACTGTAGTTGCATGTGATTGCGATGCTAAACTAGCCCTACGGTGACTACCCGGCTAAATACAAAACCAAGGTAAGAAAAATGTCATGAAGAAAATAGAATATACCAAATAAAAAATAAAAATAACAAAAAGACATAAATTACATAAAAGATGTTTGGAAACAATATCAACATACGCTCTTAGGCTTGTGTAACGCGCTCACACTGAAATCCCACAATAATAATTTTGTGTCCTCTCCTACTGAACCAAAGCGATAATTACGTTCGTCACATCTCCAGGGGTCAAAAGACACCCCAGTTACCCAGGACTGATGTCCTTGACATCGTGCTACAATACGTTGTTCTCGAAAAGCCCATATGGTAACCAGGTCATCCTGACCGCCTGTCAATACATACCTACCATCAGGACTCCAACATACACACAAGAGCCCACCAAAGTAACTACTGTATGTATCGTATAAACTAAAATTTAAAATAAAATTTAAAAAAAATTATATTTCTATTATTTAACTTTATAATTTATCTTGTAAGATTTGTAAACTACATACGTTTCTTGTACAAAATCTATTATTCGTAGACAGCCATCCACGGACACAATTGCAACATGTTGACAATCAGGAGAAAATGCAAACGCTAATATTATAACCCAAAATGTTAATTTATAGGTAATACACAAATAATAATTAAAATTTTAAAGAAATTTTACCTGTTACGGATTTCTTCGAAACTTGCCAATGTGATACAGGATTATGCTTAGCATTTTTAGATGGTCGTGATACACGGAATCTTTAGATGCGATCCAAAAAGATTTTATTATTACTTCAAATTAATAAGATATCATGCGATGTTATTATTAAGATACATTATTATTTATCTATATTTATTTAACTTAAACTATTCACTAACCCACCTTTCTTCTTCATTTCCTGTAGATGCAGTAAATGATTGATCATCTTTTTCTTTATCATATATAATTATCGATCCATCTGAATAAGATGCCATAAAGAGATTTTCAGATCCTGGCATCCATCTAACCATAGTAACAGATGAATTATTTATTACTCCCTACGGAAGATATAATTTTCTCAGAAATTAAATAATAACTAGATCTATTAAAATTATTAAATTTTTGGAAAATACCTGCTTGTTAAGTCGATCATATTTATTACATAGCGGATCGAACCAAATAATGTCACCAGATGAAAATCCGATAATAACATCCAAATGGTCACAAGAGCGGGTAAGCTGATTCACATCATGACATATTGGATGTGCCTTGGTAAAGATTACCCGAGACAAAGGTTCCTGACAATAAAAAATAGTTTTCAAGGTGTGTGTATATAATGATAATACAACTTCGACACAACTTCAATCCAATAATACCTTTGGCTTTGTCAAATCAGTCCAGCAAAATGTCCGTCCCGAGTTAAAAAATAAATATGTATCTTCATTCTGTCGATTCGCTAATATCTTTGTTAAATTATCATTCTGAATAATTTTTGCCACAAATGATGATGTCGTCTTGGTAATATTACTCCTTGCTTTTTTTCGCTTCACAGGATTGAAAAATGAAAACATATCATCCTCCTTCTTTCCCTCGATTGATGTTGGAATTGATCCATTACTATTCAAGCTATTCAAGGGAGATTTTAACATCGGTGATAATTGGTTTGTGAAAGTAAATCCAATACTTTCCACAGTTGGTGATAAAGGTTCAGAATGTGATTGTAACTTTTCTAAATCTAAAGAATCGTCCATATCAACCACTAGTGTGTTTTCTGTACCAGAAGATCGATTATTAGCAATTTGTTCACCAACGCGATCAACTGTAGCAACAGTATTTTCTCCATTGGATGAAATTGGCTGAGTTGGGTATTCTTTGTATTTAACCGAAACTACAGAAACTAACGTCCCACCGGTCAAATTTGGTGCGCTAGTATCAAGTATAATGTCGTCTCTTAGAGTATACTGTCCTTCTACAACTAAAAAGCCTTTACATTCGTTCGAAGTGGCTGCCATTTAAAGCTAACAAGCGTAAGCTGGAGATTTAAAGTTTAAAAAAAATATGAGTTCTCAGAAATGTGATCTACCGTTTAAGATTGTCGACTTTTCTAATGATTTCTATTTAACCTATATTTTTGCACCTAAATGAACATTTAAAAAATTTCAGTAGATTTTTCAACTTATTGTTTTCTAATTAAATAGAATATTAGAGATCATAAATATCGTTAATTTAAGAGGCATTAATTTATTTGTTGAATCACACCACACGTAACGTTATTATATTACACATGCTACGTACATGCATGTAACCCACGTGATTAACCAAAAATTTTGCTGTTCTTTATTTGCAAAAAGTCCTTTTAGAAATTTTATCTTCAAGAATATGAAAATCTTTTTTTTAAAAATAATAATAAACTATTTTTTATATTCATAAAATAATAATAACAGGAATCATTAAGTCTTCGCTTATTTTACATTGCAGAAATTTGTAATTTTAAACATCACAACCACACTAATAAAATAATGAATGGGATAATAATTTTATGGAAGCTGTACGGACTAAAATAGAAATTAGTTTAAATAATAAATTTGATAAGTATAAATAAAATTAGGTATTACTGCAAACATATAAAACTTACCATAATAGCATCAACGATATCGTTATTATGATTCTTCAGCGCTTTTATTGCTTTAGCTCGGGACACATTCTAGAAATATATATATATATTTTTTAAATTTTGCTATATAATATAAACGGGTGAATAATAATAACAACATACAGCTTGTTGCATGACCAATTCGACATCCTTAGCCTCAACATTAGATTCATCCATATTCAAATCTTCTTCATCGTCGTCTTCATCAGCAGCTGCTTCATCTATCTTAATGGTATCTTGAGCAGCAGAAGAGGCCGCAGTTTCGGCAGCTTGGAATTGTTGAGCAGCGTTAGCTTGAGCTTGAGAATTAAGATCCTCGACTTTAGCTTCGCCGAACACAATGTAGCAGTCAGAATTGGGGGATTTATAAACATCAGGATTAGAAACGACAAGGAGGATCTAATATTGAAATAATTTGATCAATCAATTTGATCATAATAATTTAAAATAATTTATACTGATGTTTGTCGGAAATCACGCAAAATTAAACCAAACAGCTTAAATATCTTCATTGTTATTTAATTAAACATACGTTTTTTGGCCTTCGGATGGTAACACGATTGATTCCTGGCACCACTTTCAACCCTAGCTTCTGCATTTGCTTGCGAGCCTTCTTTTCTCCGCGGCTCTGAATTTTGGCAATATCAGCTTGAGCAATACCAGGAGGAACAATACCTTCCTCCTCTAATTCTGGGATATCTTCATCAGAATCTTCCTCTGATTCAACAACTGTAGTAACAGTAGAAGTCTTTTTGATACTGGTAGACTCAATTTCAGAAATCTGTTTTGAAGAACTCTCTATTTTAACTTCTTCTTTTGTTTCAGATTCAATTTCTTCAATTTTGATTTTCTCGCTGGTTTCGCTTTTTTGTTCTGTGCTGGCCATTATGTTATAAAGGAAGACTTTTAACGGTATCGTTGATTTACTATTATTTAAAAAAATTTTAAAGTGGCTTTTTCACAAATTTCCCGATGACGATTGATAATCTGGAAGATCTGTCGATCAGCACATGATCATTAAAATTTCCGATCTGATTTGCTGAGCAAACTTAATTTATAACATATCTATAATAAGTAAATTCCATCAAAATTCGACTTTTTGTCGAAATTGAAGAGAATAACAGAAATGACTGTTATAACAGCAAATAATCAACCAACTTTAAAGTTTCCCGCACAAACCTCTGTCACACCACAATCAAATTCTACGCGAAGACAAGAAACGAGCAAGGCCTGGCTACATTTTGTGGCCGGAGGGTCAGTACCTCGTCAGTACCTTTCCGTCTAAATGAAATAACCTGGTAATAAACACTAATTTTCTATTTTTAAATTCAGTGTTGGGGGCATGTTTGGAGCAACTCTTACTTCGCCTTTGGACGTTGTTAAAACGCGTTTACAGGTATTTTTTTTTACACATTTTTTTTTGTTTTAAACCATCTAAACATACGCTGTTTTGTAATTAGTCAACATATTATCAATCAAACATGCCATATTCTGGTCGAGCAGCTATCCCAATTATAGGACATTTCGTACAAACTGGCAAAATTTTAAAGTATGAATCTTATTATCAAATTTTTTTCTTATGATTTTTATTAATTATATTGAATTTTTATTCATTTTTAGAGGTGTGCGTCATAAAGAAGGATTTAGAGCATTATTTAAAGGGTTAGGTCCAAATCTGGTTGGAGTTATACCATCTAGGTATTTATCATGAATTTAATGTACTTTGTAAAATACTTATAAATTATTAAATTTTATATATTTTTTATTTTTAGATCAATTAATTTCTTTACGTATGGTAATGGCAAGAGATTTTTAACAGAATTGAACGGAGGGCAAGAAACTTCATGGATTCACTTGTCAGCCGCGCTTATAGCAGGTTTAATTTAATCTTTAAGTTAGTTTATTTCCATCATATTATTTAAGAAAATTCTACAAATAGGAATTACCACATCAACATTAACAAATCCAATATGGCTTGTGAAAACTCGAATGCAACTTCAATCATCATCAAATACTGGATCATCACAAGTTTCTATTAAATACAAAAATTCTTTTGATTGTGTTAAAAAAATAATTCAGGAAGAAGGTGTACGAGCATTATACAAGGGACTTAGTGCATCATATTTAGGTATTAACTATCAGGAAAATATTTAAATGATTCATATTCTCTCATTCCATAACCAATTCTTATGATGAAATAGGTATTACTGAAAGTACTATACAGTGGGTGACGTATGAATATTTTAAATTGTCACTTGCAGAAAAACGAAAAAGTAAACATATTGAATCTGGAAACTTGATGCAATCTAATAGCAAATGGCAGTGGTTTGACAAATTAGCTGCTGCTGCCTTATCAAAACTTATTGCAGCTGCTATTAGTTATCCTCATGAAGTATGTTTTATACGACTTGAAAACCAAAGAAACATTCAATTTATATACTAATTCTTTTAATCAATATTTAAATTCAAAAGGTCATTAGAACTCGTATGCGCCAACTTCCTGAAAATGGTAAAGTTAAGTATAAAGGACTTATCCAATGCACTAAGACAATTTTTCGAGAAGAAGGTATTGCAGCAATGTATGGTGGTATGACTGCTCATTTAATTCGAGTAGTACCAAATGCCATTATCATGTTCTTCTGTTATGAGTCAATTTTACACTATGGCGGAGCTAATAAAATTAAATAACCTAGTTTGTGAAATAAATGAATTAAAAACATCTTGTATTAAACAACTAAAATAGAGAATAATTATTCTGTCTGTTCTATTGTATATATATTGTAATATCACTGATACATATAAAAAAAACTATATAACATGCATCATTCTTCTGAATTAATGGAAATTTAAAACCAAGATTGCAAATATTTATTAATAATAAAAAAATTATTATTGTCGCGAAGTTTTCAATTCTTCCAATATTCTATTTGCTCCTTTTTCTATCAAAATTGCGGCAACCTCTCTACCAAGTTCATTTGCTGCCTCGATTCCATCCTCATCAACGTTTTTTTGGGCTTCAGCTTTAATAACTTCTGATCCATCTAGTTTTGCTACTAATCCTAATAATTTTAATTCTCGTGTTCCATTTTGTGTCTCTATGAATTCCGTATTAACACCAATAGGAACACTGCATCCGCCTTCTAAAGTGCGCAATAGTGAACGTTCTGCTGAACATCTTAATCTCGTGTCTTTATCTTCGAGCACGGACAGTAGTTCAATAATTTGTTTATCATCAACTCGACATTCTACAGCTAACGCACCTTGCCCAACCGCATATAACATAACATTTGATGGAAAAATCTGAGAGATCCGATGTCTCATTTCTAAACGTTCAAGACCTGCTACAGCTAAAACAAGAGCAGAATACGGTCCATTTGGATCATCTAATTTTGCAAGTCTTGTATTTCTAAGAAATTACAATCGTTCTTAAATTTGTATAACTAAAATAACAAATAATAAACAAATTAATTTAAAAATGGTACTTACAAATTCCCTCTCTTCATATTTTTGCATTCAAAAAGATTATAATATTAATAATTATTAAACAAATTAAAACATTTTTATTAAAAATAGAAATAAATTCATACAACGTCCTGAAATACTAAATCCGGGAAAGCAGCTTTCAATTGGGCTATTCTTCTGGTACTGCCAGTACCAATTACACTACCTTTTGGCAGTTCATCCACTGACTTGTATAACAAACCTTCTTTAATGACGAGAGCATCTCTAGGATTTTCTCGTTTTAAAACAGCTGCAATGGTCATTCCCTCTGGAAGGGTAGTAGGTAAGTCTTTAAGGCTATGAACAACTAAATCTACAACTTTATTTTGTAACGCTATTTCAAGTTCTTTGGTAAATAAGGATTTTTCACCGATACGAAATAAAGGTTTGGAGAGAATTTGGTCACCGATCGTTGTCATGCTTGTGATGGGAAACGAGTGGTCAGGAAATGAAGCTTCCAACAGTTGTTGTACATGTTTAGTTTGAATTAAAGCCAGTTGAGATTTACGACTACCTATTGTAATCTCAGAACTCGAAGCCATTATAAAATCTAAAGTTCGAATCGTGATCTGCGTAATCGGGAATAAAATAGTAATGCAATGCTAATTGCAAATATGGTTAGCAGTCAAATCGAATAAGTGAATTGTCTATCCATTATTTGGAGACGAAAGCCGGAAATCGGAAGTTGACGGCCAGTCATCCATTTCTGGTTACATCTTTGGCTTCTGTACCCTTATAAATTACAACATATCACAATCGCTAAATCGCGGCGTTATAAATGTGATATACGAAAACTTCTCTTTATATGTAGATCATGTCAAAATCATCCCATAGTTACTAATAAATCCTGAATCCCATTGGTTTAATGCAATTATACAACAGGAAATCACAATTTTATTTTTTTCTTTTATTCTTTTTTTTTGCACAACAAACAACTAATCAGGAACTCATTAAGTCCTTACAGTTGATAACCAGACGTTGACTGCTTCAACAAAAAGTTCTTACTCTTGTAACTTTTCTTTAGCGGAAAATACGTCTTCCTATTAACTTTTTTTAGACATTGGTCTTTCGTTCCTATTTCGAGAGTCTATACCTTAATTAAACCAATTGGTCCGTCTTCGAGGCCAACGAGAATGTCTTGATCATAAAAAGAATTGGTTGGTGTCCACGACTTCCTTGCCGTGTTTGCGTCAATCCCTTTTTCTGATCTGGCGTATGGTGACAACGAATGCACAAGCACTTTCTTCTTTCAACTTTTCTTATATTTTTAAATACCATATATAATATTATTTATCAATATTGTTTTATAATCCTTATAATTTCTATTTCTATAAAAAAATTAACTAACCTGTGTAATATAGACTCTAAATATTTTATAACTTTTTACATCTATCTAGTACCTCTAGTACTCGGTTTTTTTTATTTCTATATATTTTTTTTTTTTATCAAAATTTCCGACAATCTCACTAGAAAGTGTCTGTGCAGAAAACTTTTGCGCTAGACAAAGAATGTCAAAGAGCTTGTCCCAAAATATGGTAAGAATTTATTCTCTTCTTACAAACATGGTGACTTACCTTGAAAGTCGACTTTTTTTTATTACAATTTCTAATTAAATATTGTTTATAAATATAAAGCCTTCTTTTGTCAAGTCCGTTTCTGAAAACTCATCTCCTATCAATAATGTTATCGTCGATGATTCTTCAACAAATACAACTTCGACAACCGAGGTCAAGAAGATTGTATTGTTGAAACGAAATCCAAACAATAACAATGTGACCAATAATAATAATAGTCCTACGAATAATACTGTAGGATCTAGTAATGTTGTTCAATCGTATGAATTATTACCAACTCCCAATAGGTCTGGTACATCATCACCAAGCCTTGAAAGTGAATTAACTCCAGAACAAGCCGCACATCTTGGTGAAATCGATTTTAATACAGGTCTTGATGGGTTCTTGTTGGCTGCTCTAAAGAACCAAAAAGACAGACTATTTCTCTTAAAATTAGATCAAGAAATGGAACGGTTTATAAAAGAAAAAAAGTATGTAATTCTTATTTGATGCATGTATTGTATATTATTTAATTTTTTTTATTTATTTAATTACAAACTGTTTAAATCTAATAGTCGAACACGATTAGAATTTCCGCCCATGAATTCCTATCAAAGACTTATCGTTCATCGTGTTGCACAATATTTCAAATTATCGCATGTCGTTGATACTAGTGGAAAGGCTGTTGTCTTATATAAGTCTGCAGAAACTCAAATGTAAGTGTTTTTAAGAAATAAATAATGCACGCTATAATTATTATTTTTTTTTTAACATTATATTTTATTCGTCATTAGACCTATTCTTAGATTTTCTGATCTTCTTGAACAAGAGGAGGAGAAACCTGAAAAATCCGTGAAAATCATGAGACGACAGCAGACGCACCCTCAAGGTCAACTGAGATCTACCGGAGATTCAGATAGTAACTCTGAAGGTGAACGCAAAATTTTAACAATTGAGGAACGAGAAGCTGCATATCAAAAGGCTAGAGCAAGGATATTTAAAGATTTAGAACAAAAAAATGGGGAGAATGAGCAAGAAGACACAGAAGGATCTATTAATTCAAGTCCTAGTGTAAAAAATTCCAATATTACAACTACCAATGATGCCCAGAATAGTGATTCATCACCTTCCAATAAACCCAAAGGGAATCAACAACAAAACAACAAAAATGGGAACAATAATAAAAATGGTAAACAGTCACAGCAAGGTAATAGGACCGTCGGAAATAACAAAACCTCTAATAATAAAAATAATGGAAATAGCGCAAAGAATCGGCAGCAACAGCCAGCAAGAGTACAGCCTTTTCCGTATAATCCTCCAATGTTTATGAAGCAAGGACGTCCAATCCCGAATTTTCCTGGACCACCACAAATGATGCATTCCGGACACTTTTCTCCATTTTTTGGTACGCCCATGAATATGTATGACGTTAATATGTTGCATATGCAACCAATTTTGCCACCCGATATGCAGCCGCACATGTCGAATCATTATATGCCTGATTGGAATGCACTTGGCCCACCTTATGGACGCCCAGGTGTTAGAAATGTATGGGGGTCTGAATCGTTTAATGGTCCCCCTCAAGAAATAAATGGAGGTTCATCTTTGTTCAATCATCAACAAAATAATCCAAATTCATTTTTACCTCCCCGACCAGCAGCATCGCAAAATGATACAAATTTTGTTCAAAATCAGGCTCAAAATAACTTAAAACACATGTATCCACAGAATCCTTACGCACAACCCGTTAGTGAAGCCAATCATATAGTGGCTTCTTCCGTGTCATCAGGTGACGGTAATTCAAATAAGTCTTCATCGACCCGCGAAGGTACTACTTCTCTTATTTCTCCTCATTCTGGGTTTGATGGTGATAATTCTATTTGGACTAATAAACTTCATCGGGGAATTATGCCAGGAAACGAAGGAATTAATGAAAATAAAATGAATGATCGCCAGTCAGAACAGAAAAGAACAAACAGAACTTCGTTTAATCCTCAATCTCAACAGCGTGACGTTCCGGTATATAATTTATCATAAATGTATTTTTGAAGTTAGGAAGAATAATAAATTATTCTAACAATTTTTACATTGCCATCAACATTATATCTAAAATAGTTATTTAATTCTGTCTGGAACAATCCCCCTGATTCCCAAGTTTTTAATCAATCGCAGACATCGAATGAGTTTTCAGTTCAGAATGTGCCAGGAATGCCAATAATACCTCCCCACATGTATCCAGGAATGATACCTTCTCCAATGTCAGGACAGCCATCGGGGCCACGTCGTAACAATAATGGTAATCAAATATTTCCGGGACCGATTCCTCAAGAATACGTGAATATGCAGCGCATGGTGCCACCACCTATTATGGGATTTGCACCTCAACCAACACAACCAAATATGACAACAACAGGTGCAATAAGACCTCCAAAGTCATCGGAGCTATTTGATCCAAACAATCCAAACAATCCAAACAATCTTAACAATCTTCCTACCTCAACTACAGCCCCTTATAATAAAGCTCCCGTTGCATCATTGCCAGCTAACAACGCAATTCAAGTATCACCTGTTCCGCCTACATTTGTATCATCACTACCCCCAAGACCTACTCAGCCAGCTATGTCATCCAAGGTTGTTTCACCATCAGGTAATAATAATTCTTCTTCAATGCCGTGGTCTGGAGGATCAACGACAAGAACAAAGGTAACGACATTGCCACCAAACCATAATAATTCTAATAATCGCCGTAAGAATACGAACGATAACAATAACAATAATGCTAGCAATAATTCTGTTGTGGATGGTACTATGATGCGTTCTCTAAGCCTTTCGTCGAACAGTTCTCAGCAAAGCAGAAATCATCATAACAATCATAACAATCATAACAATCATCACCACCATCACAATCGAGCATCGTCCACATCACCATCGGGTAACAATAATAATAGCAATAAAAAGAATAATAAAGATGGTTCACTTCTATTTGACTATTCTATGCAAGTACCGTATGAAGGTGTTAAACCAAGCGAAGGTAATATAATAATTATATTATTACTAATTTGGTGATATTATATGATGTATTGAAAATAATGCCCTTATTTTTTAGCCAATGAACCACAAAAACCAAATCACATACTTGAACTTTACGATTTTGCTGAATCTGATGATCTTATGGACATTGTATTATTGAATGCGACCATCAAGCGTGTTAGTCCTTCGAATAATTCACCGAACAAAAAGCCAACTATTCTTGCAATTTTCAGGAATGCGCGCGAAGCGAGCAAGGCGGTTCAATCTTTCAGGGGGGTTCGATTTAAAATTAAAACATGGGAACCATTGGTGAAAACAAGCAATGGGAGTCCTCCAACATCAAGTGGACAAGCTCCCGCTTCGACAATAAATTTATCACCAACATCAAATACATCAACAAATAACAAAACGAACATTGAAGGTAACTATGAAAAACATCATCAACAATCGTTGATGAATGTTTCTCACGGAGTTACGTTAAGTGGGAGACAGCAATAATTCATTTTCTACTCATTCAAACCATAAAAAAATAATAATTTTTAAATCATTTCAATCATTTATTCTACGGAAAGAAAACAACTAACTAATTAGGATCCTATTACGGCGTTTTGGGAATGCTATTTTTTCAGTAAATATTCTCTTTATTGTTTTAAAAATTCATTTTTTCAATAGTTGTAAATATTATGTAGTTTTGTATCTAGCAATAAGATTTTTTTAGAGGAAGAATTGAAATGATTTATTTTGTGTTATTATTAAAAAAAATACAGGTATTATCAAAAAATAAATTCATGTACAGAAGGCATATCAGATTATTAGATATGAAGTGACATTCTTCATGATCGATTAATATTGGTTTTACTTGTATTTTTCTTTTTTTTTTCTTTGTACCTCTATACAAAAAATTTGACTAATAGGCATATATTATCATTATCATTAAGTTAATTATTTTATCGTCTATTTGAAAGATAAAGCATAAATAAAAAAAAAATATTTAAAATCAAATTGTTAAATTATGAGTAAAATAATTTTTATTACATAAAGAAATAAATGTGTCAAATTTCCTGATAAAGTTTCCGCAGAGTATTATTTTATTGAATTTAACGGTAAATTCACTACAACCTATACTAAGTTTTTTTTCGAACGATTTAGCTTTACCTTCTTCTTTGAATGATCATCCTCATCATCAAAATTATTAATTAATGAGAATTTTTTTATACCGTTTGTTTCTTTAACATTACTCTTTTTGCTGTTATTATCTTTATGTTTTAAAGAGTCAATAAGTTTATTTCCAAATTTATTTGCTGGTGTAATCAGAGCTGGTAAATCATCAATATTGTTACCAGAAGACTTTGATCGATGGTTACGTAAAATTCTAGATGAACCAGTATTTCTAATGATTAGAGGTATTTTTGATGACGAGCTTGAGTCAAGACGCGTTGAACTTCTAGTCCGTATTTTTTCGGGAGTTTGAATAATTGGACTTTTTGGTGAAAAGGAGGAAGAATTAAAATTTTGTTTGACTTCTGAAGAACATGAAATTGAAACTTCATTCTGAGGTGGATTCGTAATAGGGAGAAGTCTTAAAAAGTCATCAACTTTTTGTATTGAATTTATTTTAGACATATAACTATTTCCTTTTTGTGATATTTGTGTTTTTTGGTAAGGTGTAACGTTTGAATATTTTTGTGAAGTTAATTCGTGTGTTGATTTATCTGATACTGAAGAAATAGAATCTTAAAAATAAACTTGTATTAGTTCTATTTTAAAAATGGAAACCACATGCTTAATAATATTACCATTTGAAGAATCATCAATGAGAGTATAAACAAAATCATTTGAATCGCCGCCTCCGCTAAAAACTCGTAATTTATCTACATATTTTAAATACCTGAAAATTAAAATCACACAGTAATTAAATATCTTAAAAAAGCTATTTATGAAATAGAATTTGAGGGGAGAAGTTTAAAAGTAAAAGCACCTAATTTAGTAAAAAGAAATACCTACAAGTCATCAAACATGCGTTGACAACTTACATCTTTCGCATTTTCATGATACTTTTGGTACCTAAATATTCCAGAATATAAAGAATATAAAAATGACTAATTTCAGAACTGAATTAATTACAGAAATGTTATCAATTCAACTTTAATTCGAGAATTATATACAGGGACTCAAATGATTCACTTTGGGATACCCGCGAATTTTGTTCTTCGGGAATATCGCCGAAAAACTTCACATATCTACATCGCAATTATTGTAATATAACAGCCAAAATTAGAAAAATATCTTACGCGACACAAATAAAATTTTACTTTCTTTTTTTTTTGTCTACGTACAACTCGTCAAATGACACGTGCCCTGTTGGAATACGACGTCTATACAATGAGTCCATAGAAAGAGAAGAAAAAGGTCAATGACTAAAGTTATCCTGTTCGGGTGCATGTACAGAATTCCTTAAGGTTACACAAAATATTCCAATAAAAAGTCGAGAGCAAACTCGACTGATAATCATTACGAAAATGTCCTTTAATATAAAGTTTTTTTTTTTAATATTACCTGTCTTTTGTGTAATAACATTGTTTTATTATGCTTCGATTTTAAATAAAATTATTTATCGAAATTTTTAACATATTATTGCAAAAGTATCAATAGTCTGTTACTAAAAATGGCGGACGTTTATTTTCTACCTTCACGTGACCTTTGGCCAGCATTATGGCATTAAGAAATTAAACGCATGACAAATTAAGGTGACAAATACACGAGTTCCTAGTTGATTTCTGAAATCAACACAATATTGCGGCTTAGTGATCTGCAAATTTGCAAGGCACGATAATGCTACAGTTACAAGGGCACTTTGTACTAAGTAACTGTTTTATCAGACTTATATAATAGTTTATGATATCATAAATAACTTGCAAATAACCCATATTATTTAAAGAGCTAGCTCATGTTTTATTAAAAAAAAAATGGGCATATAATACTACTAACTAAACCAAAAATTTTAAACTCTACACCCATAAAGGATCAATCCAGCCAAACTCTTTTTCAAATTATAATATCTATAAAGCATAAGCTGGAAAAAAAAATGTTAGCAGCTCTTTGGTAACAAAAACTCAAAAGAGAAGTAGATAGATTAAGTAGGCATCACTATAATTATAGTGATGCCTACTTAATCTATCTACTTACACCATAGTGATGCCTACTTATAGATATTGATGCATATTTACTTATTTTTACGTGTCTATGCCCCTTCTGATGCTTTATTGCTATCCATCTGTTTTCACTGGTCTGTGACTGTTTGGTTGCTAAACAGGGCAGAGGTTTGTTTTTCCATTCTGGAGCCTTTTAACAATTGTATAGGAGTAAAGTTGGGTTTTCCACTCTATGACCCTTTTGGTTGCCATATTTGAGGTCGAGGGTGTAGCCCATTTGCTGGCCTTTTAAGTTGCTGAAATGGTGTAAAAAAATCGTCGGGTGGCGCAATTAATTTGCGGATCAGATTTTGGCCGGCACTATTGCATAATTTCTGGCCGATCTTTAGGGCAGAATATCTTGGCTTCCTGTGATTAGCTTCGTGCGGTTTTGTGGTCGTTTGAAAGAGGACGTTGAGAGCTTTCCAATAATGCTAAGATCGCATGAATTGGATGCCTGGATGCCGAGTTATTGCGTCTCAAAGTTTTGGAAAAAAATATGGATTATAGTGCTAAGCAAAATTAAGCGAATCTATACTGCGCCTTACTGTGCCAGTCACGTGATACTGTTCTGGTGCCGGAACACCCTCACATAGTTGCTTCCCTCTCAATTGCCATTTCTTGATTGCCGGATGAGGCACAAAATGCCGAATTTGCAATCCATCTATTTGCCGAAGATATTTTACAATCCATTCCCTCACTTTTTGATTGCCAGGGATGAGGCACGAAGTGCCGAATTGGTGACCTAGATGTGCAATCCTGCCTTCCATAACCCTTTTGATTGCCAAGGATGAAGCACGAAGTGCCGAATTTGTGCCCATTCTTGCAATCCCGCCCTTTATATGCCCTTTCTGATTGCTGTGTGAGGCTCATGCGAAGTGTCGAATTGGTTCAGGCTATATCGCTTTCATATCTTTTTTCGTGTATTCTCCTGAACCTTTCTGCCTTTCCGGTCTCTTTCCTGCCTATCGGTGGTAGGCCACTCAAGTGAAATTTCTCTTTTCTTTCCTATATATAATTCTGCTTGAGTGGGTTACCATAAACTTGCTTGTTTTCGCCTTCTAGCTCTTGTTCCTGTATAGTTTCTACTCTGAAATACTTTGGAGTACTACTACATCGATTACTTTTAGGCATTATTATATTGATTACTTTGGGGTACTACTACTGACCCAGTATTTTGCCCACGCTAGCAAGCATATTCGCTCAAAATTATATAGAATTTTTATTTTGAACTTTGCTAGTTTCTCTGTTATTTTATACTGCTTTCTTGCATATACACCATGCTTCTTGCGCAAAAAAATGCTGGGTCTAGCCCATTTATTTGTTCTGAACTGCTTGAATTAATTTTTAGTAATCTCAAGATTAAGGATATACTATATTCCTGTCTTATTGTGAATCATCAATGGAATTCTGAAGCATTTCGAGTTATTTTAAAGCAAAAAGAAAGGGAATTTCGTGAAGATCTTGATTTTATCAAATATCGGCTAGACTGTAGTGAACAAGAAATAACCC